ACCATCCGATTACTTGTAGGTGTCCGTCCGGCAACTACGCCATTTTTATAAAAAAACAAGAGGCCCATGGGCCACATCGCTCACCTGAGAAGCTTTGACAATTCTGTCCCTTACTGTAATACAAATTGTGACCCCACCCTACCCCACTGATCATAATTTAGACAATTTGAAATCTACACTGCCCCAGGATGCTTCCATATAAGTTTCAGCTTTTCTAGCCCAGTTGTTATTAAGAAGAAGATTTTCAAAGATTTTTCCTATATATTTCTATGTAAAACTTTGATTCCCCATTGTGGCCCCGCCCAATCCCCAGGTGTCATGATTGGAACAATTTAGAATCTACACTACCCCAGGATGCTTCCACATAAGTTTCAGCTTTTCTGGCACAGTGGTTCTTGAGAAGAATATTTTCAAAGATGTTTCCTATATATTTCTATGTAAAACTTTGATTCCCCATTGTGGCCCCGCCCAACCCCCAGGGGTCATGATTTGTATAATTTAAAATCTACTCTATCCCAGGATGCTTCCACATAAGTTTCAGCTTTTCTGGCACAGTGGTTCTTGAGAAGAAGATTTTCAAAGATTTTTCCTATATATTTCTATGTAAAACTTTGATTCCCCATTGTGGCCCCGCCCAATCCCCGGGGGTCATGATTTGAACAATTTAGAATCTACACTACCCCAGGATGTTTCCACATAAGTTTCAGCTTTTCTGGCCCAGTGGTTCTTGAGAAGAAGATTTTCAAAGATTTTTCCTATATATTTCTATGTAAAACTTTGATTCCCCATTGTGGCCCCGCCCAATCCCCAGGTGTCATGATTGGAACAATTTAGAATCTACACTACCCCAGGATGCTTCCACATATGTTTCAGCTTTTCTGGCACAGTGGTTCTTGAGAAGAAGATTTTCAAAGATGTTTCCTATATATTTCTATGTAAAACTTTGATTCCCCATTGTGGCCCCGCCCAACCCCCGGGGGTCATGATTTGTACAATTTAAAATCTACTCTATCCCAGGATGCTTCCACATAAGTTTCAGCTTTTCTGGCACAGTGGTTCTTGGGAAGAAGATTTTCAAAGATTTTTCCTATATATTTCTATGTAAAACTTTGATTCCCCATTGTGGCCCCGCCCAATCCCCGGGGGTCATGATTTGAACAATTTAGAATCTAAACTATCCCAGGATGCTTCCACATAAGTTTCAGCTTTTCTGGCCCAGTGGTTCTTGAGAAGAAGATTTTTTAATGACCCCACCCTATTTTTGTCTTTTCTTGATTATCTCCCCTTGTGAAGGGACTTGGCCCTTCTTTTTAACAATTTAAATTCCCCTTCACCCAAGGATGCTTTGTACCAAGTTTGGTCAAAATTGGCCCAGTGGTTCTTGAGAAGAAGTCGAAAATGTGAAAAGTTTACTGACGGACGGACGGACGACGGACACAATGTGATCAGAAAAGCTCACTTGAGCCTTCGGCTCAGGTGAGCTAAAAACGTATCGGTTTCTCATCGTATACCCCATCGCTGGATAATGTGATTGATACTTTAATCCAGGATTTCATCATGCTCGTTCGAATTTATTATTTCGTAAGTTATTTGGTTGAAACAATAACCTTGTCAGCGTAGATTGATCATTGATCCAAATGCTGACTGACGTTTTTCATACTAACTGTTAATCCATTATTTACACACCGATTTGTCTAATCCCCACCGTTTTTCCAGATCATAAGGAGCCCACGGTGGGTGTGACCGATCGGCAGGGAATGCTCACTCCTCTAAGGCACCTGATCCCACCATTGATGATAGAGATCCGTGTTTGCTCTGCTCCTATTTTGTATCATCGTCGCAAACCACGGCCAAAATGTACGATCCTCTCCCATTCTGGGCCGTGGCTTGAGACGATGATTTTGTATTGCTTTATGACTTTTGAGCTCTTGACTTGTGTCTATGGTCTACTGATAAGGTCACTTGATACAAGGATCAATTACACAAGGAATGGAGAACGGGATAACAACAAAGCGCGGCAACTACGAACGCAGTAAATTCAAAGTAGTGGGGATGACAAGGTCAGGGAACGACAAAGGATGGCAATACAAGAGAAAACAAGAACTCAAAAAGTGCGATACATGTAAGTAATGCTTGGACTACCACTCTCTTGCCCGCGCGCAAATTCATTCCTTCGCTTCCCGTTACCACCAAGTTCCATTGGAACCTTTGCATTCCCATTCCCCATTGCGACAGTACAAAGAACAACATGAGCAGCAAGTTGTCCCATCAAGAACACGATAAATATGGAAGCAGGGATGTATTTATATGTATTTACTCCACAAAATCATGCAACATTGCGGTACTAAATCCATTTTCCAATATTAAACAAAGATGCAACATGTACTTTTACAACAGTAAACGGAATTACACGAATGCGTTTGATCACCTAATGCGAAAACCCACGATATAGGGATCTAAAAATACAGGTAAGCTGAAACAGTTCGATAATCCCTCAGACCACATGGCTATACAGCGAATGGCGGATCGCACTCCCCGGGATAAAATTTTGAAGCTCAATGTAGGTGGAGTATTTTACACCACGGCAAAATCCACACTGACCAGTGTATATGGCAGCTACCTCTGGAGGGTGGCCACGGGGGACGCGACTGTCATGAAGGATGAGAAAGGGAGTCTATTTATAGATAGGGATGGATATGTCTTCAGGTGGGATAAAAGTTATTTTTTTTAATATAGTTTTTAATTACAGTTTATGTTGAATGGGATGATTCTATTGAAGGTCAAAAATATGCATTATAGAAAAATTTATCAAATAATTACCTGATGCAATCTTTATAATGCTATTCAAAGGATTGAGATTTCCTGCTTGAAATGAATAGAATTATCATCAGTTGAAATGTCTGAATCGCATTACATTATTATGTTTAATTGTATTGCATCTATATTTTTTTCAAGGATCTCGTTGCGTTAACAACTGAAATGAACTCTTTTTCAGTATTGATTTCAGATTACTGTCTCATTCTTTACGCTTTCATGTTGCCTGACATGGTGAGGAAATCGATATCATCCTATCTACATTTATCTATGTCTTTGTCATAGATGCTTTGAAAAAGTTTTTAAATATCAGTTTTATTAACGTTTACAGGTATATCCTTAACTTCCTCCGCTCTGACCGTCTGATTGTTCCTCAGGGGTATAAGGAACTTCACATGCTGAGGGAAGAGGCGGAGTTTTTTGGATTAGAAGATCTCTGCTTACAGGTTGATAAGGTCATCAAATCTCGGAGAAAGAAACCTCGACCTCGACTGACGAGGAAATTCAGCAGAAGCTGGGGGTCGGACCTGACTAAAATATCCACGGATGAAAACGGATCGGTTATTTTTGAAGACGATGGATCGGATTATTTTTACGATTAATCAGGGATCCAGCAGGGAAAACGATGCAAACAGAGAACAAAAGAGTCAAACATATTTGTTTGTTTGTTGAAAGTGTGGCATTGATCTGGGAAAATGTCACCAATTTTCAGTGCATGTAACTGGCTGCGTTTCGATTATTTTCTGAAGTTAATTATATCTTTATATAAAAGCTGTAGCATATGGCGCTCGACTAACTTATTGTACATATCACACTTTTCATGCTTAGTCAATAAGACAGGGAAATGGCTTGTAACTATTTGTATACATTACTTGTATTTGGTCGATTTGAACGGCAGTGCACTCTGTCAGTAGATTTTTTTCGTTTCGTTCACAAGATTGCTGTCTTACTTGACCTACTGCAAGTGTGCATCTCATCATGTAGATGTTGATATAGATGGCATATGATGCATTGGGGAAATAAAAAATAAAATTGTACTCTTTCTCTTAATTTTAGATCTGTTTTGGTGCAATATTTCTTGAAAAAAACTCTTTATTCTCATGTGGCGCCTCTCTATAAAATGTGAAGCACATTGTGGTGCCTCTGTATAACAATATGAAATATTCGTTACTTTTCAGTTTACCCAGTTAACCTTTACCCTTTAACGAGGATTTGGAAATGCGTGAATCTGACAAAAATAACAATGCAAAGAAGTTAATAGCTATGGAAGCAAACAACATTAGTTGCGTTCCACGAAGAATTTAACTGGTCGCAGTACCCTAGTTGATTTCGTAAGTTTTATCGAGTCAAATGCTGACTGGCGTTTTTAATACTTATTGTTAGTCCATTATTTACACACGAATTGACGACGGATTTCTCCATTATTTCCCGATCATGATAACGAGAACACGGCGGGTGTGACAGGTCGGCAGGGGCTGCTCACTCCTCCATGGCACCTAATCCCACCGCTGATGTTTTGGAGGTCCGTGTTTGCTCTGCTCCTATTTGTATTGTAAATGTTTTATGGATTTTTGATCTTGAATACTGCTCGTTATTTTCATACTAATTATGTTTCATTAGACAGGCATCGTGACAGGAAGATGGCAATCTTAAGACGTCAGATAGTGTGACTACTCCTACAAGACCGAGATGCCCATGTCTCGATAGGCACTGGCAAGAGAAAGAATCTTAATGCTAATAATGATCAATTCACATAAAGCTGGTCGTATCTTTGCATGGTCAAGTATTCTCCATTGGGCGTAAACAAAAGTGTCAATTAATCTTTCAAATATTTAATAAAAGTTGTTTCAAATGGAAAGATGTCGCTCGCGTGGCAGAGTGGTAGAGTCGCGGAGTAAGGAGTTGTGGGTTTGAATTCCACCTACTGTAGGACGTGGAGACCGGTCCTTCGGATAAAACCGTATAAACCGAGGTCCTGTGTCGCAGTAGGTGATCCCATACTGCTCACTGGACCTGAGTGCCGAGCATAAGTAAAACTTTACAGCACTCCAACGACTATAGCAAGTGCTGGCGTCTCAACAGAGTGAAAAATAATTCTAGAGGGACGTTAAACAATAACAACAACAACAACAACGACAACAACAAAACATGAAAAGAAGTCACATAAATTAATTAAGTGTCCGAGGGAGTGAAAACAATATGAGTTTATTTATTTAACCTTTGTGCTCACATAAATCACACGTTTTTCTACAGAGATAATTCAAATTAATATCCAGACACACCAACAATTTGACTTCCGGATCAGCGCAGTGGGCTACGTCGTAGTCCTCGCACAGCCAGGGTGGTGACGTAGTAGTTGTTTGTGTTGTCGTTGTAGTTGTTTGTGTTGTCGTTGTAGTTGTTGGTGTTGTCGTTGTTGTAGGTGTTGTCGTTGTAGTTGTTGGTGTTGTTGTGGTGGTTGTTGTTGTTGTCGTGGTTGTCGCAGTTGTAGAACGTACTGGTGCGGCCGTGTTTTGATGTAGATGGATATCTGTTGTTTCAAATTTGTGTTTAAACGATTCTTAAGCACTTATACCTGAGCAGGATAATTTAATAATAGAATAATTACTAATGCTTAACTTGTATTTCAATTATACTAGTATATCCATCTGTTTAATATAAATAAAACAAAGACAGTTAGAAAATATTTGCTATAATAATTGACCGCAACGGAAACTCATTTGGTAGAGCGCTTGCTTCATGATTGGAAGGTCTTGGGTTTGAACACCTGCCGCAATTGACCTGAAATCGATAAAATAGGTAACACCTGTTCCGTCACCAAGTGCTCGGCACTTTTAAAAAAAAAAGTTTGCAGGTTCTTTGGATAAAACCTTATAAACCCAGGCCCTGTGTCACGGTAGCCGTTTGCACGATAAATATCCCTCACTTCTCAACGCTTACGGAACAGAGGACCGAGCGAATTTAAGGTTTGAAATTCGAAACCCTTCACCGGTATATGCTGATGTCTCTGTTTGAGTGAAACTTTCACAAAAGGGACGTAAAACAATATGTAGTCAATCAATGTCATGTAGCATTAACTTACCGCATTTATTACAGGTTTTTTGGCAGTATTTGACTGCGCGCGCAGGATCTGAGCAGAAGACCAGGTCTGCTCCTGGAGCACTGCAGAGGTCCGGGGTGTTGTCCACACACGGGACCGAGGTGGTGGTTGTAGCTAATTTAACAAAATGATCCATATCAATTAAAATAGCAAGCATGCAAGTTTTAATAATACATATTGATTTTTGCTTTCATTTTTCTGTAAGACATTATTAGGCAATTAGTTTTTCATTTTTTTCTCTCTTTTTGCAAGGAGACTTCCTAATCTTTTTTTATTAAAGTAAAAAAGCTCATGTTCACTTACGACATCTTCCGCACGTTTTTCTGCACCAGTTTACAGACAGGTCGGGGTCGGAACATATAGAAGACTGAACAGACGTGGTGCTGCAGAAAGCGGCATTTAGATCCATGCATACTTCCGGTGTTTGTGTCGTTGTTGTCGCCAATTCCGCCTGTCCACCTGTCAAAACATACTAAACATCTAAGTACTAAAAATCAGAATTTGAATACAAATAACAGTATTCATCTATTACCGTATAAGTAGAAATTTTAGCGAGAGGCAAATTTAGCGATTTGTCCTTAAAAACTTGTATTTTAGTTTTAGTTAGATGCAATTTTAGCGATTTTAAAATACTCACTATAGAACCTATTACAAATAAAAAGCAATAAATTTTTAGGGATATTCAATTTTAGCGATCTCAGCATCCTCGCTAATAATGCCAAAATTAAATCCTCGCTAAAAATTCTACTTATACGGTAAATAATACAAAACTAAAGGTACTGTGAGCACTGAGCTCACTAAAGATACATCTCGCCTCCCATATAATTATAATGGGAGTCCATGTTTTGCTCTGGGAGACCCGAAATAATTGTCAGATCAAAAAGTAAAATTGGAGGTCAGAATGGCATTATGTAATAAAGAATCTGTGAACTTATAAGTGGTTTAGGAGGACTAGCGGATGAGAGATGGGTATCCTTCAATATTATAATTAAAAAAAAGAGGCAGTGTCGATGAAGTGCTATGGGAAACACGAAATATGTGTCCGATCAAAAATACTAGTAGGGGGTCATAATGGTAATATGTATGGCAAGCCCTTTAATTAAAGGGATATCTCTTTAGGATAGAGAGATATCTCTTTAGCTTATAGAGATATCTCTTTGACTAATAGAGATATATTTATACCTCAGAGAGATATCTCTTTTTGTAAGAGAAATATCTCTTTTACTAAGAGAGATATCTTTATAAGCTAGAGAGATGTCTCTTTAAGCGAGAGAGATATCTCTTTAAGTTAGAGAGATATCTCTTTAAGTTAGAGAGATATCTTCAACAAGGATAAAAGAGATATCTTTCTTAGTTAGAGAGATATCTCTTTAGATTTTTAAAAAGAGATATCTTTCTAAGCTAAAGAGATATCTTTTTTAATGAAAGAGATATCTCTTTTCCAGTGATCCTTAAAATAGAATAATTAATTCTCCCCTTACAAACGAAAGCGAAACAAGAAGACAAGAAGTAAAGTCTCGGGAATAGTTTGGCTGTGAAAAGAAAAAAGACTGAGCAGGTCAGACCCAGAATAATATATATATATATATATATATATATATATATATATATATATATATATATATATATATATATATATATATATATATAAATGTACTTTGTAGACAAAAATACTATGAATCCCTTGTTTGAAACAACAAAAATAATGGGAACATCGTTGATAAACATGCTAAAAGCTTAAGTTTAATATTCAGGAAAACGAACGTAAATGCAATGGACAGAATTTTCTCAGCTTATGAAATAATCAACTAATTCGAAATCTTGACAACACTAAATTACTTTTCATGTTTAGTAAAGTTTGAGAGACATCACTTATCTCCCAGAGTAAAAGAGATATCTCTCTAGGCGAAAGAGATACACACATGAAGGTTAAGAACACAAATGAAACGAATATTTCCCCTGGTCTGCTATGAGGTTTAATTCAATCGTGTCATATATTACCGTTACATAAATCTTGATCACAGCAGAACGAATTTGACTCGCTACCATCCCTCCGTCCTAGTATTGCAACCGAAGTTGGGCATGACTAAAATAACAACAATAAATACTATTTTTAGCTAGATTAAAACAACGTAGATAACCTAAACAGCCGTTTATAATGACATCTTAGGCTTGACAAATTTGTGTGTAATTGCAAATAAACTTTGATTGTTCTACCTCTAGTGTTAACCTCACCAAAGACGGCATAGTAGTAATGGTTAATAAATTATCAAATTTAATACATTTGTATACTTTAAAAGACTCCGGAGACCGTTTATATCAATCTTCATTGAGAGAAATGTACATATTTTTAATGTTATTTACCGTGTGTGCTCTTAATCATTCTTACCAAATCATCTGCACATCCCAGAATCCGGTTCCCGCCGACGTTACTGTATAAACATCTCTACAATATGTATAAAAAGTAATTATTACAATATCATTCAATTACAAAGTCATTACATGGTTATCAATATATTTAAGAAATAACATACTAGTACCTTTAGTCATGCATTATTATTTCTGCGTCTCAATACGAGTGAAAAATTCTTGAGAGGGACTTTAAACAACATACAACTAACAATTATTTTCAACATTATATCTCAACCCCATTTTTGAAAAAGGAGGAAAAGCATAATATTTAAGATACTTACAAAGCATTCGTTTACATAAATTATACTGTTTCTTTATTGTATTGAAAAATACCGCCTATTTGGAAATACTGTGTTTGAATGATACACATCGTACTTATTTAAGTCGGTAGGAATTTGAAAATTATCAATTGAATTGTTTTAGGGATAAATTTAGTTTAAAAAATGTAACTGGCAAGCACTTATAGTTTGCATTTATAGAGAAATTACAATACAGGTATCTGAGATGAACTAAATGTACATGTAGTTTGTAATGGGAAGCCTTATTGTAACTTATCCATATTATATACTGTCATATATATACATGTATATATATATATTCAAAAAAGAAACGCATAGTAGAATTTTAGCAACAGATTGAACCACAGGAGTCTCAAAAATCCGGAAAAAATTTCCCACCCTCAACTAAAAAGTTTTCTTTCGTTTTTTTTTTTTTTTTTTGGATGATAAAAACTTCAGACTCCTGTGATTGAACATAAACATTATTTGGTAAAATGGTGTACATGTATTGATAATACAGAAATGGGGTTAACAATAGGGATACCTAAATGCCATAATTACTGAAGAATTTTAAAATCATAGACAGTTCAAGGCCATTATATAAAGATCAATATCTGGTATGTCCCCCACAGACACAAATGATAGTCTAAAACGACATCTAATGGAAGCAAATGTGCGTAATAAAAATTGTATAGGAATACTCTCCCACTCCAGATGTAGAGCTTTGGTCAGCCGGTACAGAGTCTGAGGATGAGATTGTCTTTGACAAATTATACAATCCATTTTGTCCAAGGATTACTCATCTGGGTTTAATTCTGGCGATTCAGATGACTATGGTAGGAACAGTTTGCTTTGCTAGAATGTCATTATCAAACAAGCCGTATGTCCATGATTGTGTATTGTCAGATTGAAATGCGGCTCCAGGATGCTGCAAAATTGAAGAGGCATGTGCAGGTAGAACATCGTTAGAGCATCTCGTTCCATCAAGGTCCTTTGAACATGAACCAAATCAGTCTTTCTTTTACGTAATACCGTTTTCCATATCATTACATTATCACCAAATATACACCAAATCTTTCAAGAAGCCCGTTTTTTGTCTACCGTTCATTACGAAGCCTATACACTGTTAAACTTATAACAGGCTTTCCTATAACATTCAGGACCAGTAGCTATGCCAAAATGTTCACTACACCGTGCTTTTGCTGTGGCCCTACTCTGTTGATCTGAGATCTTTGATGTCGATATTTGGGATGTTGTGGGGTCAAAACTATAGCATTAATAATCCTCTTGCAATAATTCCAGCATTCCGTAGTCAACCGCAAAACGGTCTTGTTAGATGTTCTGTGTAGTTCATGGATAACTAATGCTGTAGACGACGTCATTCTGAAACATTCCTGAAATTTACGTAATCCTCTGAAGCGATCCTGTGCTGCTGGTGTCACACGTTGTCTGCCATACATTTATTTTGCAAACATTTGGTGTTCCTTGTTAATGGTAAATGTTTAATAATATAAATATGCTGCTGTGCGTAACATTAAAGCCTCTTGCAGTTATAGACTGTGGTTTACCTGCTTCCAGTCCCCCATTTTCCTTTTTGTGCATCATTCAGATGGAGCATTTTTAGATAGCATCAATTTTCAGATAAAATAAAAATGAAAAGATATAGAAGTCAAGCTTTTGATAGCCCCTTTATGCCTGAAGGAATTGCATCAGGAAAAACAAATGAAAATTGAGATCAAAATTTTGTGAGCGTTTTGTAAAATATGGTCTTGTCTCTGAGATTTGTAAAATAGCTGTACAGTTACCAGTTGGGTTAAAAAATAACGCATCTCACTCGAATGGATCATATCCACCTGAAATAAATTGTATGACAAAACTTTCTTACATTTTTCAGGGCATTGTTCTTACTATGCGTTTCTTTTTTTTGGAAGAGTATATCATCATATGACAAAATTGGCAATCTAGGTAAGATTTTTATCATATGAGATGCGTGACATGTACAGTCTTGTCAATTGTCATGATTGTAAAACTACGAGTTTTCTAGCTAAAAATTAGCTTTATCTCCATAGTCATATTTTCTGTTTCTAGAAATAAAATATAGACTTAAGCTATTTTTTTTAGTTACATGATTTTGTTTTATTTTCGAAATTTATATACGTGAATTACAACTTCTCCTACAAACAAACAAAGAAATTTTCTGATTGTCTTTTGAAATGAAAGATTGGAAATTTCTCCGACTCCTGCTTTAGTAAGTTGAATATGATATGACTGGATAAAATATAGAACTGTGGAGTATACTAGTATAAATGCAAAATAATAAAGAAGCAATTAAAACAATAAGAAAACCCAGTACATGTTCTTTGATTGGTTATTTGCACCTTTCTGAATAATTTAGTTTAAATTATACATCTTACAAATAGAATTGGTATTGTACCTTTCCGTCAGGACAGTCCACCGTTTGTTTACAGGTCCTTGTATCAGTAATGTTATTGCAGTGGTAACAGGACAGTCCTACAAGGAAACTGAGTCATTTTAACTATGTTCTAACTGGTCAAACTAGGTGATGTTATTTAAGATTTAATCGCTTGTATCTAGGATAGCTGTGATCGTTTCATACTATTGAAGCATCATTTGGTTTGACCAGGAAAATAAAAACCTTATGCCCGCTTTTAAAAAAAAATTATTAATGACTGGGTCATATTATTACCTGTCAAACTAAAAAAAATTATATAAATGACTGGGTCATATTATTACCTGTCAAACTAAAAAATTCTATATATAATGTAAGTTGTGCTTCAAAAATATGTGACGACCCTTCCCCGCCCAGAGACATGCAACTGGAATACAAATATAATATAGAGTATCTATCGATCGCGATGTGAAAGGTATAGGATGTACCAGTTCTCAAAAAACAAAAAAATCACTGCTAAATAAAATTAGTCTTGCTACAGATTTTTTTCAGTAATGCGAAAATAACAGGTAGGACAGTTAATTTGAGAAATATTAGTTTTTCATGTTAGATGTTCTGTTAGTAATTACATATTTTGATCTGAGCTTTCTTATTTAGCCATCTTTTTCATTCTGACATGAAATCACACTGAATTTGAGGAACATTGTTCTACTCAAATTTTGTATTGTTAGTTTCAATGGTCTTTATCTTCATATTTAATGAACGTTTTTATATATTTTATATATTAACAGTAGTGAAGGAGAAACTTCAAGAGTACTGCGCAACAATATATTCAAGAAGTGGTGTAAATCAGATGTGGATACTTAAAAATTCCAAGGTACTTTTGGACAATTTGAAATCACAAGATTTCACCAAAATCAACAGCCTTATAAACTTACGACTTTTCAACTTTAAACACAACCATTCCCCACGATAAATTAAAGTCCAAGCTTTTTGATATCATTGACAGCTGCTTTTTCAATTAAAATGGAATTCGTAAATTTGCCCACCTTGTCATTGGTCATTTGCAAAATTATTTTGCTAAAACATTCTGATTGTAAACACAAGTACTCTGAAGTTGACATCAAAAAGATGCTTGAGTTTCTGATTGACAATATCTATGTGGTTTTTGGAGACCAGGTCTTCCAACAATCTATTGGAATTCCCATGGGGTACCAATTATACCCCGTTATTAGCAGACCTATTTTTGTATTCATATGAAACAGAATTTTTCCGAAATCTTGTACTTGTATAGAAGAAAGTGCTTGCTGTGGCCTCGACATTTAGATATATCAACGATGTATTGTAAATTAACAATGGTAATTTCCATTCTTATGTCGATACGATATATCCCGGTGAGCTTGAGATAGAAGATACCACAAATTCTGACACATCTGTTTCATAATTGGATATTTTACTTGAAAAAGACGTTAATGGAAATCTAACAACCAAGCTTCATGATAAAAGTGATTACTTTAAATTTAAAAATCGTCAACTTCCCTTACTTATGCAGTAATATACCTTTATCACCTGCATACGGAATTTATATATATCAGTTGATTCGATACGCAAGAGCATGCTCTATGTATGAACAATTTCTAAAACAAGGTAAATTATTGAAAACAAAGTGATGATACAAGAATATCAGCTGTCTCTTTTAATGTCACCAAGTTCTATGGTCGATACAATGACCTTGTCAGCAAATACAATTTATCATTGAGTTAAATGCTGACTGACTTTTTCATACTTATTGTTAGTCCATTATTTATACACTGAACTGACGACGGATTTTTCCGCTATTTTCCGATCATGACAAGGACCACACGGCGGGTGTGACCGGTCGACAGGGGATGATCACTCCTCCATGGCTCCTGATCCCACCTCTGATGTTTTGGAGGTCCGTGTTTGTTTTGCTCCTATTTTGTATTGTTTTGTGGACTTTTGAACTTGAATACTGTTCGATATCTTCATGTGTTTCATATTTCAATGGACGTTATCTTCAAATGTGATCCTTGTACTTAAGGTACTTCATTGTGCTGGATGAAGGTGGAAAAATATTAGTTACAGTTTAAAATAAAATTATATCATTGAAATTGTCTTTCGTCTTTTGCCTTTCCTTCTGCTTGATGTAAGTATTTGAAATAGGCAACTAAAGCAAGTCATCTACCCTACCCTTCATTTAAGTAATTTTATCTGGAGGTTATATGAGTGAGGAAATCATAAAGAAAAAAAACCCATTGATACCTGATTCAAAGTTCTTTGCACAAAATGAAATAATTTCTGAAATGGACAATATTTCTGTAGAAAACTTTTGAAATACGATTTTGACATATGTTTGTCAATGACGTCCTTCAGACTTTCTTCAGTTGCAAAATAATTTTAAAAAGTAATTGATGTGGTTAAATTCTCGCGGGAAAAAATATTTGATATGATATTCTATGAAAACTGTATTCCTACTTCAGGTTTAATTATCTTATAAAGAAAAAAATCACCTCGAGCACTGTGAATATTTAGTATTGTCCACACAATAACAAATAGTGGCGTCCACATCTTATCAGCAAGTCTAAGGTCAGGCAGTAACGAGACCTAATTATAGATATTTACTGTGGTGTTACTCTGTTATTACACCATTCTTAATTTTGGTAGCATATTGCTGTTTTGTGTGTCACCTGCAGAGCAGAGTGATTAATTCTCGAGTGGGAGATAAAGCAACATACAATCACTCAATCAATCTATATGAAAAGAAAAAAAAAACCATTTGATGTGGTCTTCAATTCATTCAGGTGTATCGAACATGCTTTATAAATTAGCAACGGTTACTTCCATTCGTAAGTCGACTCGATGTATTCCAGCGAACTTCAGAGTCTGCCACATCTGTTTTATATATGGATTTTTTACTGACTATAGATGACAAAAGCCAACTAACAACTTAATTACATGTATATGACGAACGAGTTAACTTAAGATTCTCCATTGTTATCCTTCCTTATTTATGTTGTAATATTCCACTATCAACTGCACATGGTGTTTATATCTCCAAACTTATTTGCCATTCAAGAGAATGCTCTGAGAACGATAAATTTTCAAACCGAGCATGCTATTAGTATACATAAGTTCCTTAAAATCCGATATACCAACAAAGGATTTGACGCGGATAATATAAGAAATATACCTATCCAGTCTAATATTCCACCATATTTCAAGTTTAAGACTACACCTTGTACTCAGTATTTCCTAAAAATATACATCGACTATTGCTTTCAATCTAATTTTTTAATATATTACAAGAAAACTTTACAGGGCCTGGATGTCGAATATCTCAAACATAATCTCCATCGTGTTCATGTTCTTGTTTACCCTATAACTATGAACCTGATGGACACGTTATTATCGATGGCGTTAGTATAGTTAGTAATGAGGACCTTAGATCACTAATTTTAAGATCCTAAATATAAAGAACCCCGATCCTTCAACTGGCGCCGTAATTATATACGTATTATGGATTCTGTAGAAGACTACGCCAGGCGATGGGCCAGACATGATAAAGAAGACTTTGACACTTTGTTAGATGTATCAGAAAAATAATAAATCGCGCATTAAGCGACTGAAGGGCAATATGAACATGTATCCTTCTGTATTCGTTAACCCAGAGGTGAAAAAAGAATTAGATTACATGATCCTTAAAGGCTTTCTAGGTAACAAAATCATCTTTTTTGTAAGGCTCATTATATGAAATGTATTTTAGAGGAACTTGGATTTAATTCTTAAAGTGGTGATCCTACTTATACTCATAGCCCCCGTTCTAAGGAGGAAATTCTTCAAAATCATATGTCAGATTTGAATGTTTTTAATATTCCAAACACCGAAAATGAATTTGAATTATCTATATTGGATACCGAAACTTCATAGAAATCCTTACAAACAAAGATATACATAGCGGGTTAAAATTCCAGTAAATGTCCTACCAAGCCTTTTTTTTACTCCTCACAAAGATGTTAACAATAGTAATGGAAAAACTTCAAGAAAACTTTTCAACAATTTATTCAGAAGCGGTATAAATCAGATGTGGATACTAATAAATTCAAAAGAACTTTTGGTACAATTGAAATCACAATTTTTTTAGCAAAATAAACAACATAAAGAAATTACGACACGACTAATCAGCCTTATATCTAATTATTCCCCATGATACATTAAAGTCCTTAAAGGCTTCCTGACGTCTTTGACAGCTGCCTTTTTCGATAAAAATGGAACTCGTGAATTTACTTACCTTGTCATTGGTCATTTGCAAAATTACTTTGTTTAAAAAAAATCTCTAATTGTACACACAAGTACTCTGAAGTTGACATCAAACATCAAACCGATGCTCGAGTTTCTTATTTACAATATCAATAGTTATTTTCATTCTTATCATACTTATGTCGACGCAATGTATCCCGGTAAGCTTGAAATAAAGATACTAAATCTGTTTCATATTTTGATCTTTTACTGGAAAATAAAAAACGTTAATGGTTATCTAACAACAAAGTTGTATGATAAACTTAATGACCTCAACTTCTCAAGTGTCACCTTCCCTTACTAATGCAGCAATTCACCTTTTTCACCTGTATACGGAGTTTCTATCTTTCAGTTGATTCGAAACGTAAGAGCATGTCCTACGTATGCATAATTTCTTAAACGAGGCAAGTTATTGACAAACAAGTTGATGAAACAAGAATGTCAGCAGTCTCATTTACAGTCATCATTTCGTGATTTTCTATGGTCGATACAATGACCTTGTCAGCAAATATAATTTTTCATTAACTCAAATGCTGACTGACTTTTTTTATACTGATAATTAGGCCATTATTTACATACTGAATTGTACATGAATTTTTTCTTCAAGCATGTAATATTTCCTATTTATTTTACCGTATATGTCTTCTCTTTACTGTTTTGTCAGTTACGAGAATAAAGTTCAAGTTCAAGTCATTTCTCGATCACAACAAGAAGCATACGGCTGGTATGCCCGGTCGGCAGTGGATGCTCACTCCTCCATGGCACCTGATCCCACCATTGATGTTTTGGATGTCCGTGTTTGCTATGCTCCTATTTTGTAATGTTTAATGGATTTATGAGCTCGAATACTATTCGTTATTTCTGTATATTTCATTGATGTTACAGAGATTTCAACAACCTCATTTTAATCATCATTTCCTAAATTCTATGGCCGTTATAATGACCTTATTTGCAAATATATCCTAACACTGGATCTTATTTTGACTGAAATGTTTCATACCAATTGTTAGACCTTTTAAGGGCTCACGGGTGTGAACGTTCAACAGGGGATTCTTATTCCTCTTAGGCACTTAATCCCACTTCTGGGATTGTCAGAAATCTGTGTTGTTGGCTATTTCAAAGATGTGTATTGTTTGAAGTTTTTATTAGATCATAGTCATTTTCATAGTCAGATGGTCATATATATAAAAAATTACCATGTAAACGTAAAAGGTGGAAATTTATGAAAGTCTTAAAGACATTAATGTCTCTGGTAGAACACAGCATAGGAAACAATCTAATAGACGACCAGACAATGAACATGTAGCAATTGGGAGAAATATTATAGGTGGTAGCGACATATTTGATCGAAACCTCTTGACAGAAATGGAGAATCCGTGTTATTCATATAATTATTGGAAATTGGCAATCCCCGAATTGAAAAGATAATGATACACAGTGGGTTTTAAGTTTCATTACAACAGGGTTTTTAACAATTACAATATGCTTAAAATTTAATTTAGTAATTTGTCTACCAAGAAAAAGTCGTTGGGCATTTCTTTCAATACGTTGCTTAGTATAAATCATTAGAGGCGTCTTAAAAAGTTATTGGTTTGCGTTCAAGTGGACCTGCTGTTGAAAAATGTGTCACTTGATGTGACTGGACAATTGGCGAGTGACGTAAGCTTGCATCATCAAATTGGAGACATTTTACTGGACGAGCTCATTAAAAGGGTTGTCGTGTAGTTCTTCGTAACTGTTTCCTGACATCTCAGACAAAGACATGGCCCTTTCCTGAATCGACAATCACAGAGAGCGGCTGGACGAGGATCGAGAACCGAGTTAAGGTTAGTACCGGGTATCTATATATTCATAAGTATGCACATATATCAAAGTATTTTATAAAAAAATCTAAATGTGTATTATAAAAAATGTTACAGGCGTAAGAATTTTTAAAATCAAAATAAAACGAAAAATCAAGGTGCAAAAACTTTTAGATTACAATTATTGAAGTGGGAAAAGTAATATTCTTTGTCTTTGAATTCCATCTTGAGTAATTTGATAATACTGAAGATAATATTTCGGCAAATATCCATTGGGGGTACAGTTTCCACTCATATACCTTGACTCTTGACTAAGAGTTTTTTTTTTCATGAATGTAAAGAATTCTCTCAATATATTGAACATTATGTTTAGCACACTTTTCGGTCTGGTTTTGGGTTTCTTTTGAATCAGAAGAATATTGGCTGAATTCAAGCTTTTTATTGGCTCGAAATAAATGTTAAAATACTATTTACGGAAATATATTAGGCAATTGTAAGACAATTGACAGCAGTCCGTAAAACTGTACAAGTTTTAACCATTGCTTCAACAAGGTGAAGCACTGTAGAAGCATCTTTTTATAAGGCCATAATACACGAATTTATTAGTTGGTTGATAAATTATCATTTTTTTTTAAATGATGTTAACACTTTGGTTAAGATTTTGATTGTATAATGTATTTTAAGAGTATTTAAAACAGAGAAAATAACAAATTGATTGATATTATTGAATTAACAAATTGACTATAATATTATCGAATTTTCAATATTTTCGATTTAACAAATTGATTGATATTATCGATTAGCTTTGGCTAAATGGGAATTAAATGCTGACTCAATTCCTCAATGAAATACATATACTAGTACGTTATTAGATGATTGAAAACCGATTCTATATTACCGACACTGGTTTCATATAACTGATATTCGTTTAGTCTAAAAATCTACCTGATTCTCGAATGAAGTTTCGAACAAAGTGAAATAATTGTTTTAATTTTTACATCAGCAAACAAGGTATCGTTTCCAAATATTGACTTTTGACAAGAATATTTCTTAAAAGGTCATTTTTCTGAAATGTGGAAACCTATATATATTTTTGGGGATCATTAGATATTTTATTCATTGAAAGTAAATCCACATTGAACTCATAACATAACTAGGAACTGTAAACATTTCACATTACACATACCAGTATCACTTTCATAACTAAACGATTAGCAAAACAAACAATCGAGAGACATCCCTATATGGTGAATTAGTATAAATAGGTAAAAACTTGTTTTCTGAAACAGAAATTAATCAAATATTTTCTTTTAAAACGTAAGAGGGTAAAATATTCTACATTCAGAAGCGCGATAGCCACCTATATTGTTTCTGAAAACAAAATTCTAAAATTTTAACTTACTTAAAAATATTTGCGATCATGTTTTATACAACAGTATTGGTTTTGATAATTTGAAAACCAATTTGTTTTCATTTTCAAATGAAAACGTATGATCGTGTATCAAACAAGGCTATTTTTGACGGTCACCTTGAAAGCTTCCCTAAAGATTGTTCACCCCTAATCACTGACCATCGAGATATTACACTTGTAAGTCGTCGCCTGGAAATCTACATGCTGATAATCAGAATTTTTGCTTTTTTGTTTAAAGCAGAATGAAGATACTCGCCATCATTGTTGTTTGTGTCATATGGTCAACAACTGACTCGCAGCTGATCCGCAAACTACAGCGGGTACGTAAGAGGGTTATACCTGCTTATATGCTTATAATGACAGGGAACCACCGAGAAAGTATTGAGTTCAGACAAAAAAGTCAAACTTATTTCTTAATTCTTTCTAGATTTAAAAGGATATATATAAGCTGCTGAAGAAATTCCCTTAAATTAAAATAAATAATGCCTGAAGGATATTCTTGTATTAAATTATACTGTAAGAGAAAGATGTACTAAAAATACACAATACTGTACATGTACGACTGGGGAGGATCAGGAATTTGTAGCTAGTGTCTGCCTTATGCAGCGTCTTTTGCGCTGCTTGTTGACCGCTTATTCACGTACATGAAAATACATATTATAATACGTATAACCAGAAGTCTCTGTCGAGACTAAAGCTCTACTGGTTTGTACTTATAGCAAAGGAAGAGAAAAGTACTTAAGCAGCTGGGAATTGAAACTTAACAACAGCAATAAATAGAATAATGATCCCTGATAAAGTCTCTTTATGTTCTCAGTGTAGTCTACCAAGTTATATTGAAATCAGACTAAAACATTAGGAGGAGTAGCATTTTGAAACAATTTTACAGACATTTCTATTTTTAGTAACCACGGCAACACCATTCATGGAAATCAAAAACAGATACACAGAATTATGGAACTTAGTGTAGTCTACTTGTGTGCCAAGTTATATTGAAATCAGACCAAAAGTGTAGGAGGAGTAGCATTTTAAAGGAATTTCACAGAAATTTTTATTTTTAGTTACCACGGCAACACCGTTTATCGAAATCAAAAACCGATACACAGAATTATGTATCTTAGTGTAGTCTACTTGTGTGCCAAGTTATACTGAAATTAAATCAAAACTGTAGGAGGAGTAGCATTTTGAAAAATTGTTGACAGACAGACGGACAGACAGACAGACAGACGGACGAACGCCGGACGCATTACTATCGCATAAGCTCTTCTGGTCTCTGAACAGTAGAGCTTAAAATCACTTGCCGCTATTTTATGATTGTGATTTAAACTTTTTTAAGGCGGATTACTCTAAATTTTGACTTCGCTAAATATTGAACGTTAACTTTACAGTATATTGTGCTTAGTTCTAAGACCTCTGAAAAAAGAGCAAAGTTGAAGGGGGGGTGTTAAAAAGAGTCATTTACAAGGAATAGTTTCCCGATGGCAATGAAATTCCAAAAAGAAGTCCCAAGCGTCTTATAGAAAATAATTGAATAGTAATTGTATTATTTTGACAGCGGTCAGACAGTCTAGAGAATCTCAGAAGGATGCTGCTAGAACTGGGGGACACTGACAATGACGGTAAAATGTCGGGGGAGGAGATCCAGGATTTTTTTAGGTATATCATGAACCTGAGTCCTGAAAACTCCCTGTTAACTGCCCTACAGTTCATAAAGGACGGAGATATGAATGGAGATGGAGAACTTAATGAATCAGGTAAAATATTGTATAGAGTCCTGTCAAAACCGGTAAAGGAGTCCTCTTCTAAAATTATTATGGTGAACAAAACAAAGTAATCTGTTACAAGGGGGGAATTCTACAATGCTTGTTTATTTGCTGTTTAACTTCCCTCTCGAGAATTTTACACTCATATGGAGACGCCACCACTTGCCGGTGGAGAGCTACTGTCCTATACTCGGCACTTAGGACTAATGAGCAGTGATGGATCTTTTTCATGCCGACACCTGGACCTCGGTTTATACGGTCTCATCCGAAGGACCGGTCTCCACGTCCCACAGTGGAATTCAAACCCGCGACGTAAGGATTGACTCCTCCGTGACTCTAGATCTGGAGCAGTTGTTCTTACCACTGCACCATGAAGGTGACAATTCTAAAATGAGTTAATCATATCTAAATGCTCTCTTTTTAAGCCCCCGTAATCGAAGATTCGGGGGTATAATTTTTTTGCTCTGCCCGTCATATTTTTAGAACAGTTAAAGCTAGGACTTTCATACTTCATATGGGCATTCATTTTGACAAGACTTTTAATGGGTCTAAATATTTTTGACCTTGAACTCAGAGTTTGTCCCACTTTTTAAAAAAAATCTCTAACCTTGGCCATAACTAATTGTGCATGACAAGTCTTTTCTCTGGAAAGCAACAATTTTGACCTTTTTGGCCTTGACCTTGGATTTTGACTTGCATTTTAAAAATTTCAATCTTCAGCATAAACTGTCATCTGTGGGTGGGGGGTGGGGGTGGGATGGTCAGTGTTTCACAAAAACATCTTGTTTACCTTTTTAACCTGTGTATTTATCAATTTCATTTTCCTTTCAGAACTCCTAACTGCACTGCGGATTTACAGAGGAATATCATGAGTTTCACATGTTCATACTGATGGTGTTGCATGTGTTGACTTGATTTTCAAAAAAATGGTTCATAAATAATTAGCTGAGTGATTAAATGCAATTGAAAAAGGCGTTTGTGTTTTCATTTAGGGTACCTTCAGTCTTGGATAGGATGGGGATTACTAGAATATAGAAATATGAATGAGAGCAGTCTTATTAGTCTTTAATTATACTACCCCTTTCTTTTTCCTTTCAAGTTACTCCTCAGGGGCAAAGATGGACAGGAACTTTTGTCGCAGTATGAAGAGAAATTCTTTAAATCTTCGTTAAAGAAAAAACAAAACAATCCTGTCTCAACATGGCATATACATGCATTTATAAATCTTTTGAAATAAGTGCAATGGCATGTTTGCATTAAGCATCTTAGAAACAAAATTTCATGTAGTAAGGTTTGGAAACAGACAAAATGAAACAAAGAAATGAAATTTTTGCCCCTACAGCATTTAAGGACAAAATTGTAAAGGTTATTCAGTGTTGACTTACCGAGCGCAAGGTCACCATAGTTCTCTAGTGACATATGCATTTTATAGACTATATCAAAAGGTACTTTGGTTTGAAATTTAAAACAGGTACATGCATTTCTTAAACTTCCTTCAAGAATGACACAGCATGGCTATACTTCGTCAACTTGTTATGACCCCAGTCACAGTGGAAAAGCATTACCTTTATGTACTAAAAGCCATCATAAGAGTAGTACATCAGTTTAAGACATGTGTTTCAGGTGAGTGCTGTGGCCCAGTGCCCTTGATAAAAAAAAATAAATCACTATAAGTTTCTGGGTTCGAAGATAGAGCTCATGTTTCTGTGTGAGAGAGGGTGTGTGAGGGAGTGTGTGTGTGTTTTTTAAACATGTATTTGATTTCTAGCAATACTTTTATAAATTTTTGGCAGAAATATTTTGGAATCTATATAAATGACTTCCAAGTTTTGGGGGGAAAAGATGAGATTTTGTGATCTGTAAACTGCATGTTTCATGGAGATGAAATGAATCACAAGGTGCGATTTGCTTTGAAATGGTACAATTACACTTTGTCCATATTTTACAAACAAAATTTTCCACTCCTCTTTTGGAAGTTAACGCGCCCAAACATATGCAGATATTAAATGTCTGTTAGTGCATTGTTATTGCGCTCTGCTATGTAACGAGTATTGGATTTTCATTCAAAATTAAAATTTACATTGGTGTGACCAGACTATGCGTTGATTCAAGCTATTTAATTCTAAATAGGATCTGAAATAATTTGAAGAAAAAAATCAATATACAGATTGTACTAATTTGCATCTTTAAAAATAGAACGAGAAAAACCCCGCGGTAAATTAATGAAGATTATCCGTCAACACCTTTGTTTTTGGGTTAATTCGTTAGGCATCAACGATCAAGGATTTTAATTTGTTGATTCGAAAGGAAATCAAAACATACATAAAAAATATAATATGCATATGAACTCCATGTTAGATAGAGTGAAATGAGAGCTGGCTCCGAGATCTAGAATTATACTTAATATTTCTCAGAAAATTTTCCAGTCCTCTTTTGGAAGTATTGAAGACTTTAGGTTCCGTACTTAAGTTCACCGGTAAAAACTTCGGAAAGATTTTATTCCAAAGTTAGGTATGTATCATTTGTTTTCTTTGGGATTGCATATATACATATAGATTGGGACATTTTCATATGTTTTATTATCATATACAAGATACAAGATACAAGATAAAAGATATTTTATTTACCAATCAAGGGCCCCGGGGGGCATTTCAACATACATAAATGTACATGCAATTTAAACATTCTCTCTTTTCTTGTATAACAATATAATTAATTTTTTTTTAAACAGTTATATAAATGACCAAGTTACATAATAATATTGTTCTCAGTGTCACTGATCATACATAATACAAGTGTCCAGAAGAGTGTCATTGATCACAAAACAATACAAAAATGTGATGCTATACATGTATAAATTTAAATGGCTTAGCATGCATAGACATGATGACAGAGTCTGTGTATTTATACATTGGTTCTTTTACCATTTTCAGAAATGAATTTTCCAAGTAAGCATAAAATTTCTTTATTTTCATTATTCAATATCCATATGTTTTTCATCAGGTGTCAAAGAAGAGAAGTTTGGGTTGATTTTTGATATTGTTTCACCGAACCTCTGTCTAAATTGATTCCAGTTACCGGGTTAGGGTAGAAAGGGGGCGGTGTTAACAGGAAACTTTTGAATTGAGTTCTGAAACATATGTCTAAACTTTATAGTATTATAGTGACTGTCTTACATACTTAAGTTTTTTTCAAAATGATTATTTGAGTGGTTCCCTTAAAGATCAGCACAGAATTAAACAAAGTCCAGATCCTGTAGGTAGGGATAGAAAATGTGTACATATATGTAGCAGATTGAGGGACATCAGTTCCAACAATTGCTTGTAGGTATGGTTACCAATTAAGGAATAAGGGTAGAACTAAGCCTTTGGTTTCATAAATGTAACAGTTATTACATTTCCAGGTCTATTTTTTTTTATCGACAATTAATACGGTGGGAATTCAATTTGTGCGTTTAAATATTGTCAGGTCATTCGGTTGTAAACTCCAAGCACTTAGTCAATTGAGAAAAAATGTATAAATAAATTTGAAAATAAAAGAAAATTACATGTAAATAAGAACACATCCTTTTTGTACAGAAGGAGATAATTATGAGATTGAAAATTAATGACCGACAAGAAGGTGTATCAAATATCGTCATGTTCAATTTATTAACTTGTGCACGGTGTAGACTATTTATAATATGCATACATTTTATACAAATTGTAAGGGCAGCATGCAGCACAGTATACTTATAATTATAAACAATGCACCCATTTGAGATTGTGTAAAACAAAAACATGGGGGATGGCAGGGATGGGGTAATTGAATAAAGTAATTGTAATTGAGTGTAATTAATTACATTTTTCAAAGTAATTGGAAGTAATTTGTATTTGAGCGAGCCTTCAATTACAAGTAATTGAATGTATTTCAATACATTTCAAAAAAGGTCATGTATTTTCAATTACTTTTCAATTACATTTCAATTACTTTTTTTCAAAATGAAAGTTTATATTTAAAAAGGTCTCTTATACTGATACATAGTTTTATACTGGTGGTTTTATATTACTTATTCCCATGTTTTATAAATCTCAGTTCTCCCTAGTCCCACTTCCAAATAACAATGATTGTTTAGTGATAGTTAACTTGTTTTACAGCAATTAGACTAACTACATCCCCTTTTAGATTTACCTGTATTCTATTCATTTTAAGATAGATAATAATGAATGGAATTGTGATAGATATTATTTATTTCCTTCAAAAATATGGATTTGAGAAAGTAACAAAAAAGATCTTGCCATACACCATACTGGTGTAGCATGGGCTTGTGTTTGTACAATAATTAATTGTCTCATAATGTTTTATTTGTTTATACAGTGTGTCACACTCATTATAAGGTAAAGGTAAAATACTGATTTTGACCAGGTGAACCCCTATCATACCCAAGAACAAAAACACTGAATGAAAGTTCGAATTCGATCGCTATAGAAAAAATCTTACTTAAAAAAATCTTTATTTTTTTTTATGAAAATAAAACTCGAAGTAATTGAAATGTATTTAATTACATTTGTCAAAGTAATTGAAAGTAATTAATTACATTTGAAAAAATCAATGTAATTGTAATTGCAAGTAATTGACAAAATTATCAATGTATTTGAAAGTAATTAATTACATTTCAAAGTAATTGACCCCAAGCCTGGGGGATGGCATTGTGTTTTAAAAATAAATAAATTAATGAATTAATTAATTAGTGAATTTTGTTTGAGTTTACTGATGTACGTGCAGCTTCGTTGTTAATTCTTCACAAATGATATTTAAAGATTTATACTTAGTTCTGTTCATATAGCATTATTATAAAGTACAACTTCTGACTAGGCCATATATAAGAGTTATTTTTCTTGATCTCTCGATCGGAGCAATTTTAGTTTGTTTGGCCCAAACAGTTGTGGTATATATAATAAGTTATATCACATACACCTGAAAGCTTTTTAAAAACTAAATGTAGACAAACTAAGTGCACAATAATTCACAAGAGACGGTTCATATTTCCCTGTCCATTTTATAACGTGTTTCACTTAATTAAATTCAACTGTGCCTTTGTTCTTAATTAAATTTTCTCGTACTTTAAGCTTGCAAAAACATTTGTCATTTTTATTTAAGTCTGAGAAATGAAACACGTGTACGTGCAAGGAATTTTTTCAGTAAAAATCAAATGCCAGACTTCTTTAAAATATTAAAATAAAACCCAACCATTCCTATTAAAAATGTACACCCATCATTTGATCTCGTTTGAGAAGAAAATCACATTCAAATATTGACACGTTTCAAGGTCACGTTTTAAATCAGTCTCGTGAACATCATAAACCGGAGACCTGGCCGAAGATTTTTATTTTTCATTTATAGAGAAAAACCTTGAATTTAAGGGTATCACTCGAGGAAATGCATTATAACTATCAAGCATGATGCAATTCCCCGAGACTGCCACGTGAAGTCATGCGCAGTTCAATATATCCCATATTAGGGAGTGGGCATCGTTGTGTCTTCCATATTTGGACCTTGGTTTTCGCCATATTAGGAAGGTACAAGCCATATTAGGTAGAGTAGACTTTATAAACGTTTTAATGCTTATCACTACTCTAGAATTGTAAATCATTTTCATTGTTCAATAACATGTTAAATATTTTCCTGAATAGAAACATTTTAATAAACGTGTTAAATCGAGTTTCCTGAATAGAGACAGTTTGATAAACGTATTAAATGCTACACTAACTAACACTTTATTTTGTTTACGTTTATCTACTAGAGTGCGTATGGAATATTTTAACTGAAGAATGCTATACATTGTGGAATTATTAATCTTTTATGTATTTCTCGAGAAATTTGACAGACATGCAGTCAAATACTATAATACGTTATTAAAACATTCTGAATCATCAGAAAAAAAACTTATTAAACGGGTATTATATAACGCGTATAGCTTATTTTTAAGAAAGGTATCTCTCAATAGTTTGACAATTCATCTTAGACTGAATTCATTACAGTAGCTGGAAAATCGTTTTGTTAATGAGCAGGAAGGAAAGAAAAGGTATATAACCAAGAAGTCAATATTTTCTCATGTAGCAGTTTTTACTTACTAGTATGTAAAATCGAATTGGCGAAACTTTGAGAAAAATCTGTTTGGTTTTTTTTCTCTCATAGCTATAATTTAAATGAATGAACATTTATTAAAGTCATTAAAAAATGTGTGTGGGCTTTGAGAAAGTGCATGATGCAATGTTAGACCGCAGCATTAACTGAGCTTGCCACGTTGTCATGGGCAATCCATTACATCCCCATGTTAGAATCTATCTCCTGAGCATGCGTCGTTGATAAATTCCAAAAATGGACTCATCAGCTTTCGCCTTATAAGGAAACTACAGTCCTTATTTTGAGGAGTAAAGTTAGTGCATAATTACACAGGCACTTGACTATAAAGTGTAATCATTTTTCTTATATGTAAAAAAAAATAAACCTATACCTAATAATTCTGTATATCTGCATGCAAGTACTGCAAGGGCACACGGACTGGGTGTGACCTATTTATTGCTATTGAAAAGTTTCAATTTCCAACTGCTTAAGATTTTCTTTCTTCTCCGTGGCACCTGGGGTCTGTTATATTAAAGGAGTAAAAAATTTTTCTCAAGGTTTCGCCAATTCGATTTTATATCAGTATTATGTGGGACTTAAGTACAGTCTGAAACACAAGACCGTAACTAGAAGCATGCTTAAATTTGACAGTCTTAGCAAAACTTACTGATCACTTATTCCAATATCACTCTCAACATGGCATACGGGTAGATTCATGAATTTATTTTTGGGACGCTTTTTAAATAGTAGTGGGTCCTAGGTTAAAAATACTTTTAAGAGGGCTGGGTGGTCATTTTTAGACTATATTGATCTCCTTTGGAAGAAGAGCATCATATAAAGATATCGAAAATGATCAAATTTTAAAACTAAATTGTATGAAATTTTTCTTTGCCAAATGATACTTGATATTTGTTTTTGAATTAGACTATGTTGACTGGAAGGCAACGAAGAGAATGAAAATGAGATTAAACGGTAGAACGCATCAAGCGCGGATTAGGGAATAGGGCGTTCACTACAGTCCGAGAGAGAATTCGTGTTTTATGCCCTTTCTACATATTTGTATTGATTATGGATTATTTTTAGTTTGAACCCTGGTTGTTATTTTCACCTTCTTCAAATAAAGTTATTAATTTAAAAAAAAAATCGGGATATTTTAGACTAGATAGAAGACTTGCCATCCAACACAGCCCTGAGGATGTAGCTAGGTGGGACTTCGTGTTTGTGCTTTCAAAGTAGGGATGGACACACACCGTCTTTGTACCCCCCCCCCCCTCAATGATTCTGCTGTATAATTAGGGCTTGAGCAAATTAAAGGTTCACTCTTTGTTTTGTAAGTTATCAATAACTTATTTTCAGTTTTGCATACTATTCTCGACCTAGCTGCAGAACTGTAGCGTTAATGTTTTATACATGAAAAATACAAAGGGCACTAATTTTAAAATGTATCATCGTATATATAAAGATATCAGACAACTGATATTGTTTGTCAGGTCATTAAAAATATTTATTTATTCATTTTTTTTCATTTTTATTTTATGTAATGTTTTCTTATTTTATTTTGTTTGGTTTATTTATTTATTTGAGGAAGAGGGATATGCTTAAGCCGTGTACTTGATATTTTTTTTTAAAGAAATTTTAAAATCACTCAAGCAAAACTGTTTATCTATTGTATATTTTTTTCCTCATCTCGACATGTGCTCAAGGTTTGAGTTGACGCACCGTAGATAAGGTTTTATAAGGTCAATGTTTTCTTGTTCAGTCACAGCAACATTTTCGTTTCGTGGAAAACGATCCGTAAAATAGACCTGGCACGTTTGCATCATCGAACAGGAAACGGCGAAAGTAAGTTGACTAATAAATCATGTCATGTTTGACAGTTTTTTACATTTATATTTGCTGCAATATAGACAGAAAGCAAAAGTTTTAAAAGTTTTAGTGATATTATTCATTTATTCATTCACAGTATGTGTGGAAAAGTCAATATTTACTTTAAACATAACAAGAAACGTGGTCATTAACGCATGGTGCTGCAGAAAGAAAAGACTTGAAAGATCGTGCTAACATTACGCTGCATTGGATCGTTCTTTCAGTTAGTTAGATTTGAAAAGCGTTTTACTTTTAATAATTTTACCTATATTTGTTTCTTTTTTTATTTAAAAAGCGTGTAATCCTAGTAACTCTACTGTGCATAATAACCGCGTGTATTGCCTTTTGTTAATTATGTAGGAGGGCATACCGTAAAACACAGCGTACACTGTATGGTGTGCTTTAGATTGATAAAGTTTCCTGAATGGTAGTATTGACCGAATCCAAAGTTTTTACTCTACATAATCATAATGGTTAAATATCATAATTTACTTTATTTAGAAATATTGATTCACAATCACAGGCTTTAGACTACTCAATAGTTGAGGCGAGTAGCAGAGATTGCTCACTTAAAAAATTGTGTTTGATTTCCTTTTATTATTATTTAATAATTAAATGTGAGTGAAATATGTTATATTTAAAGGTTCCATATATTTAAATTTATGTGAATTTTTTATTATATATTTTAAGTACTCAAGGGCATATATTATTTTAACAAATGTTATTTTTTGTGTCAATGAATTACTTCTCTTTGCTATGACCCTCCTTTTCCCAGCCTTAGTAACTCAAACACGTTATTTTTCCAAAATAGTTAAGTTTCAATAAATTAATAACTTGTTTAAGTTATTTAGTGTCATTCCTCCCTAACTTCACACCTCGTGCACCAAATGTAAAGGTTTTTGCTCGTGCACCAAGACAAAAACAAATATTTGACTAAATTTAAACCTTGCTCAATGCAGGAAAATTGTTCAAAGTCTTGGGAAATTTTTTTATTTAATAATAAAAATTGGACATATAAACCATGTGGATAAAACCACAAAATAAGGTGTAAAATGCTGTTTATCTCCACCTCCTCACCATAGTAACTGCACTCCATCTATGTATTACAAGTCCCAAAATGCAATGCATATTGGCAGGAAACACAAAACTCCCAAGAAATCAATGTCCAAGTAGGATATAAAAACCATGTTATTATTAAAAAAAATTTCGTGTGTGTATAATAACTTATTTAAGTTATTTTTTTTATAACTTGTTTGTGTTATGCCCCTGACTGGTCATATTCTTTCCCAGCTGATCAAATCGATGTGAGTGGTGGTCCCTTTCCAGGGTTTGTAATATTCATGGAATTGGATAATATTTTAAATGGGCCTGCCCCCCCTCCTCCCCCCCCAGGTAACAGGTTGATGGTTCAAGTTAGATGAGGAGTACCAGTAGTAAAAACCATGACTAAAAATATTCCTCTGAACCATCAATCCTTATCAAGTATCTAAACCGAAGATTGATGTGTGCACAGAAAAGACCTGGAATCCAGTTGACATGAATTAATATCTTCACAAAATGTTAACAACTTTGGCTAACTGTTCACTCATTGCTTAGGAGACCAAGGCAATGGCATATTTATAAGTTTAAATTTAGCAAAATTTTTATCCCTGCCAGTGAATGAAAACATCTTGGTGGGTTGTTAAACTCCATAAAACAAACAAAATATAAAATGTCACAACCAGAATATTTATCATTGTTATTAAATCTTTTACATATGAATCAAAAGCTGGTACATGTACATTTGTGAATCAATTATGAAAATTTAAAATTCTAAAAGTTATTAACAGTGTTGCTGCTTTAACCATGTTAATAAAGAAATAAAAAAAAATCTGATTTGGTATGCAAACCTGTCAGGTATAGAATTATAATGTTCTGTTATTATTACATTATTTGGACAACATGTGAAATGTGGGGGACAACCCAAAGTTATTTTTACCCAGTCAAATCTGACATATATGTAACAGAGCTTATACCGGTATGCCACCGAATTTATTAAATAAATAAACAAAAATGTCCTTGAATGAGTTTGTAGATAAACATTAATGTCCATCTGCATGAAATGAAAATAAAGCCATAGGAGTACACCATGGTACACAAAGAGTAGTGACTGAAATAAAAACAGTTTTTATTTTAATTCATATATGTTCATGCAGGTTTCCATTCTGTAAAATGTGTATTATTTTAACATTTTTTTGACATAAAAAATAAAGGCCATAATTTTATTATGCAAATTAAAGCTTGAGTGATGATTTAATTGATGTAACTTTTCACATATGTTTCAGGTGTCAAGAATTCTAGCCCAGAATGTCGAATGGCAAGTTAGACAAATCCAGCGTCATGACCAACGAGTCTGATTCTACTCTCGAGGAGGAAAACGCTGAGCGAGGGAACTGGTCCAATAAACTGGACTTTGTTCTGTCCTGTCTCTCGTACGCAGTAGGATTGGGAAACGTATGGAGATTTCCTTACGTATGTTACCGCAATGGTGCAGGTGGGTAATTTTTTTAATTTTAAGATTCATTTATCTGTATGCTTTTTGGGAGCTTACTCTAGATTATTAAAATAAAATAAGTGAACATCTAGTATCGGAACTTAATATCCTTTGCATACAGCCATTGATTACAGGTCCAGTAAAAGAAAAATATCCAAATTGAATTTTCAAATTTAAAAATTCCCAAATGACAAGCAAATTGAAGTTTCAATGCTTTTTATCAAAAATATTGAATGTTTTCAGGGGCTTTCTTGATACCTTTTGTGATCATGCTGTTCATTACGGGAATCCCCCTGGTATTTATGGAACTCTCCCTGGGGCAGTACGCCAGCTCAGGGATCGTTATGGTGTGGAGGGCCTCACCCATATTCAAAGGTGAGTTGGACATCTAATAGTATACTGCTGGTAGGGAAGCTTTAACTTGGATTGACCTTTAAATCTGCAGTGGATAATCCAATAAGGCCATTCAACTTCCTCAAAACCCTCAGACTTTGGGTTATTGTTGTCAGATTAAGATAAGCTGTCAGTCTGACATTTCCCTGCAAAGCTCAGACAGGCTAGTCTAGCTAGTATATAGCTGGACTATTTATAGCATTTAGGTTCTTAGCTCTAGTGGATGAAGATAATAGAAGGACCTGGTCAGTACTAGTAGTAGATGACTAGTAGGACATATCTAAGGTTAATGGCTCTACTGAATAAAGACAAAAATAGGTAGTGAATCTATCAGTTAAAAATTGATTCTCATCCGTCTCAAGGAGAACAAAAAATAATCTTAACTGTAAAACTCTTACAAAACTCTTATCCTAGTTATTATAGCACTGTTTTAGTTTGATTAAAGTTTCAAAAAAAAAAACAAAAAAACATGAAGATATTTAGGTCTTCATGAATTTAAATGTAAAACTTGAACTTTAAAAAAAGTCTTGGTGCAATTTTCTTGTACACTTCTAAAAGTACAAACCAGCTACACAAGTCTCATTCAAATCTTTTGGTTATTCAGTTATTATGTAAACTGCTTGTCAAGATTTGGAAATTTAAGAGTTAGGTCAACATACATGTCTGCAATTCAGAAAACTGAGGTTTATTCAATACAAAGAATTTTTCGTCATGAATATAGCAATTGACTGTCAATGCAAAATAGAAAATAAAACTTAAATGTGTTTAAAGGTGTTAAATATATTCTAATGGTCACAAAGTTGTGGTCTATCATAAAACACATCACTTATTTGCAAAGATTATAGTGAAAGTTATGTCAATTAATTTAAAATTCCAACCTGGATAGATTAACATATCAATCTAATAGACATTCTAATAGAAAAAAAAACTTATTGTTATAAACTTGACAATCCCTGTATTACAATATCAGAGTTTTTATTATAGTAGTGCGAGGCATTGTTTTGTTTGTTTGAGATAATGTAGCTGTCAGGAGAATAATGTTGCTTGTAGCAGTTTGGGATATATACATGGTGGTTCTTAATTAACTGTACAGATAATAAGGCCCTTCTCATTCAAGATGTCTTCATTAATTGATGAAGGCAAAAATGTCACAATAGATAGAAAGAAGCTGCAAATCAAGGAATCATTAGATTTGTAAAATTTCAGATTAATCAATCTGAATACACATTTATGAAGAATTATTCAAAGAGACATTTTAACATTTTATATATAGTTCTTGAGAAAAAAAGAGTTTAAGTCAGAGAAAAGCAGCAACACCTAAGGTCCTATATGTAAACATGTGTATATACCTGCTACATATTTAGTTCAAACTTTCTAAAGAAATTAGATAAAGTGCCAATTTCTTAGCATAACACACAACATCTTAGACAGAGAGATGTAAAAGTAGGTCATTGTGGCATATATGAGTCTGTGATGAGGAATGCTGGATTTCGTGGAATCTGGAAATCTAACATAACACAGTACTGGTGTAGGTTGGAGTGGGTGTAGCTGTATGGTTTTGGTAGATATGTCAGGCTGGGTTTACAGCTATACCTATGCTGTAGGCTCAGATGAGCATTTACTGGGAAGTCCATTTTATTGTCTGGTGTCTTAACCTTTTGCTGGTGATAAACATGATAAAACTGAATTTTAGCATTCAAGCATGTCAGGAAGTTCAGACTCACTTAGCTAAACTCAACATAAGGCAAATCACATCACTAGAAAATTTATATTATTACATGTTGCACTGCATTAGATATACACAAGTGGACATTGGATTGAGTATTCCTTTTACAGCTTACTGTAGTTTGTTTAGGAAATACAAAAGTGAATGTTTTTAAGTGTTTCATTTGTTAACAAGCCAATTGACCCCCTGTGTCTAAAGGAAAAAAGAAGAGTGCATGCACAGATCTACGGGTGGGGGACACTTTAGGTGTGGGGGTGGGGTTGAAGGGGTCAGGTATAAAAAAATTTTGCAAAAAGCTCAGAAGCTTCTTGGAAATGAAAGTTTTACAGACAAACAGTATTCATGAAGGTAGGAATTTATGACTTTGAACTTTAACCTTCAAGGTTAGCTAGAAGGACAGATGGACAGACAGATTGAACTGAATATCCCCCACTTTCAATGGAAGCCGGGATAAAAATATTCCACATTTTCATAAAATTAGATGTAGTTAATCGCTTAATTTAACAATTAAGCCTTGAGAACAGAATGTTAAACTTGCATGAAACAAACTTCACTGATCCATTTTAATACTGTGAAATCAAAATTTTCATAGGGGTTAAATTTTCATTGTTTTCAGGGTATGAACATGATGAAGAGACCCACTAATTCATGTCCAACACAAAATGTAAAATTTTACATACATAACTACTCAGCAATTCTTCATCCACGAATTCAAATCCCCACGAACCAAGAGTTTAATTTTCTTCAAACCACAAAAATTTGACACACGAAAATATATGAATTAATTTACAGTAATAATGTTTAAAGCAGCATTTGTGTAAAATTCAGTGTGTTTCACTTTAAATTTCAACTTTTTATAGACACAACTATGATGTATAATGGCTATATATTCATTAGATTTTCAACAATATATTAGTGATACTTTAGCCATTTGATAAAGTGATCCGATCACAGTGTGAAAGGATGTCAAAGTGAGTGAAATCCTTTGATAGTGAGACAGAATGTCAGAAGTGCTAGAACTTTTGATTTTCCTTCATTTTATGAAGATCAATATGTTGATAAAAATATTCCCTGGTCTGTTAAAATAGAAAGTTAATGAACTGTTGAATATCCTTATTTATCAAAGAAAAGCATCAAAAATCCACAATTTAGGTTATGAATAAATTAATCATGAAAGAATGATTGCTATCTTATGTTGTATTGATTCCCCTGAAACAGAGCTGACTTTGACATGCCATGGTTACTTGTTACCAGAACATTTAGTATTATCATCTAATTTTCCTTGCAGTCATTTCATGGAAAATTTGTTTGCATGTTTACACTCTGTATTTAAGTGAAAATTGAGCTATTTTGGATTTCCTAATTGCTTTTAGCAAAACAGATCAACATATGGTATGATCAATAATTCACCCACTCTGTAGGCAGGTACAGATGGGGAAAATTATGGAGTCTTCTCATTCAATCACAGTACAGAGATGACAGTACCTAACCGTGAAAGATAAATATTCTTAAAATAAGGGAACAGTGGCAATTTGTCAGCTAGGGTGATGTATCTTTAAGAATGTAATACATCTCCTCCAGTCAGTAACCCTATTGTTGTAATTGGCTTATACTGTATGAAAGCCTCTCGGTAGTTAATCACAATCCTTTGGTAAATATGCCAACAAAAAATTAAAACCATACAAAAGTGTCAAAACATACCTTGAATTTTCAATATAATGGACTATAGAGTAAATTTAGTGAAAACGAACGTGTGGTCATTGACAGAAAATGATAATTATTGATTAAAAAAACAATTAAGGTAGAAACAGATAAAAAGTTTGTGACCCAAACCCAACACAAGTAAGGATGCAGGAATTTTTTTCCGGGGGGGGGGGGGGGGGGGGGGGGGGGGGGGGGGGGGGGGGGGGGGGGGGGGGCCCAAGTCAAAAAATATATTTCCAACCAGAAATTTCTTGACATGCAAAATGAAAACAAAACACCTGCTCCTTCCTCCCCCTTAACCTTCTTTCCTTAACTTGAAAATTTGTGTGTGTGTGTGTGTGGGGGGGGTTAGTTGTTGGGAAGGGGTACAACCATCCAAGGTCTTTTTAATTTGGTTAATATATATATCGGTACATCTAATAACACTGCAAAGTCTGTGTTATTAAATGTATATATATTAATGGAATAAAAATGATCGTGGACCCCTTCCCCCCAGAAAATGTGGATCTGTGTTAAGTTGGTACGAAAAGTAAACTTTATCTCATATGGCATATCCCTAATAAACTAAATTTAAGCTAAATTTTAAGATGGGTAATAGAGTATATGTTCAATTTAGTCCTTCATAATAATGAGTAAAATACTGATGTAACTGTGTAAATGAGAGCTAAAAACAGAATTGATAATTGATGTCAAAATTTTAGGATTTTGTCTGATTTTTGTTTAGGTTTTGTTGTTGGGTATTTTTAGCACTGCTGGTCAGAGACCTGAAAGGAATGTTTGTCATTTATCTGTCTAACTTAGTACAAACAGTGTTTAAAAATGCTTTCTGAAATCACAATTTTTAAAAGCCGGAAACTACTACTTCATGACTGCGGACATGGGGGCAATGTTTTCTAAGCAAAAGATTTTTTTTCAGCACATTAAACTTAACCTGTACAATGTGTGTGAAATGATAAAAAAAGTCATTTGTTGATGACGTTTTAAAACTCTTTTTAATCCATTCCTGTGTTTTCAGGAGTGTAACAACTGTTGTAATGTGATAAAGAGGGGGTCACTTTCATACATCTATACATAAAATGGAGAATTAGTTTTTATAAGAAGTATATACATGTACCAGTAATGTGCATGTATTGGTCTTAAGATTAGTATTTGTGTGAACGATATGATGAAATGTCTCAAGATACTAGCTAACGTCTTAATGTTTGATAGACATAATTTATATAACAGCGGTATTTGTTTACATGAAGCCATTGTTTGATAGTAACGTGTATATTCATGATAGTGTAAATTGCACTGTAATTTTATTTTTTTGCCACATGTAAGGGGAAGAACTTGATAAAATCATCAAGATTATCTTGATAAAATTCCTTGACAAAGTAATTTCTATTTAATGATAATCTAGTCAATGATTAAACTAATTGTTTAAGTTCTTTAGGTGTCAGAAACTAGCGGAAGAACAAAGGCTGTGTAGGTCTGTAGCCAGTGTTTTTTATCTGGGAGATGTCAGATCTATCTTTGATGTGGATCCTTCACATCTTAACATGATCCGTTCTGTTTATAGGGCTTTAAAATTTATAAATGTGTTCTGACTTATAACAATTTTACACACATTAATGATCATACACCTAAACAAACTAAACAACGATTCATGAACATTATTGAAAGCATATTGTAGAATTGTAAAATTTACTAATAAATAAATTAATTATATGACATCTGATCTGATTAGGTTAGATGCTGGGTAAAATACATGTATATGCATGTGCACAAGCTACTGAAGACAGAAAACTTATCTCAAAATCCTGGCATTTGTGTATGGATGTATAAATGATAGTCTGATCGTAAAAGTGATAGGCTAATTGTTTGTGTATTGGAAGTATATTGGGGGTGTAGTGTAAGCAATAAGTGACTGCATTAATAATAAGAACAACCCATATGTAAGTAATTAACCAAATTGATGTAAATCAGTATCAGGGGAATTATGGCACGCGGATTGGTTCAAAAATATTTTCTGCACGACCTTAAACAAAAATTACACGAGCAAGTCAAAACTTACACAAAGTGCGGAAAATACACACAAAGTTATTGAAATTTACACAAACTATACAAAAACTACACAATCAAGAAAATATTTACACGATATAATGAGAAAATTACACAAACGTAAAAACGAAAACTGCACAAGTGAGAATACAACATCGACATTATATACAGCGCATCCTCATTGCGCACATTTCATTAATATTCATTAGAGAACAGCTCAGTGTGGCTTGGATGCTTGAAACGTTATAAAACAAGAGGATGAGTTATGTGTTAACAATATTTATTCAATCTTTTAAAAAAGATTCAGTCTTTCAGAATTACGCTAGACTCTCAAGAATATGCACATTGTTTTATACATTTAAAAATTGACAGGTACACAATATGCATATAAATTAACACCCCTCTATTAAAAATGCATTCTACATGTATAGAAAATATATCATCAGTTGCGTGTTTAATTGTTAGATTATTTAATGTCATTCCTCTATATAGCAATATCTTTTGAAAGTTCAAAACAATGATAATATCATAGTAAAGGTAAATAAATAAAAACAGCGTGAGGTAATACAGGAGAGTTAATTAACAACAAATGAAACTCTTTTCCTCCACCACCCACAGAGTGTACTATGGTAATAATTAAGGTTGTGGATGCGTGACCTTTTCATATCGAGAGATTCCTGGCTCCCCGCTGGTGCTGGAATGAAAGACACCTGTACGATAATCGATTTATAGTTATTTGACACATCAATAATACCTTTTGATTGAAGGTTACTAGCAATTCATTCAGAGATTTTGAAGCAATGTTGCTGCCATCTGGGTTGTGGAATTTGCCCGATACATTTTTAGAAGTAAACAGTAAAAAAAAAAACGAGCAAATAATTGCGCAACTTTAATTTTAATATTAAACGAATCCATCATTTTTTTTAATAACTCGTAGTAAAATTATACAGTGTTTTACTTATGTGAATTTCTGTTTTTCTAGTGTAGATTATTTTGAATAGGTAAAATGCATATAAAGGAGTTAAACAATTTAAAATTATATTATGCTGATACACATTTACTATCGCTTTTTAAAGTGAGGAGGGGGGGGGGTTATACCTAAACATTCTAATTAACAAGCAGAAAAAAGGTAAAGCGTCTATTCTCGAAAATCCTATTTCGTTTAGATAGTGATCGAGGCACCTTCAATTCCAATCCAGCAACAAAAAGGGGGCTTTTCAGTTGAAATTTTACAATGGAAGTAGGTTCTGTTTGCAAAAAAATAACCCAAAAAAAAAAAAAAAACGAGGAGGGGGGGGGCAGGTCCCTTCTGATGCTACGTGCCTGAAAAATATTTTTAAGAATTTAAGGGTACGATATCCTGGGATTTGCCTGCGCTCGACCTAACAACATTTAAAAATTGGGGGTTGGGTTGGGGTCAACCAGCATGTAAAGGAAAATTTACTATAGCAAAATCTATACTCAAAAATGATGGGGAATGGGGGTGTACAGGCCTGATTGACGATTAATTTCGTTTCATAATAATACAAGTATAATCATGTTCTTTTTTTTCATAATGGCCATTTACATGTATTTGGGTAAAAAAGGTAATATTACAAGAAACTTAGTGGTTGGAAAATAATTTTAAAAAATCATGAAGTCGAATTTGAAATGTAAACAGAATTTGTTGTCTTGGAAAATAGTTGCCACACATCGAGCTCCATAAAGAACATAAATTATTTGCATTTTTCAGAGTGATAAAATACGTTCTATAACACTGCTGTATCCATTCTATTTTTTTTATATTGCTTCCTATTTGTAACATTGTACTCATAGATGTACTTAGTAAATCACAATGTTTTAAAAGTAACAAAACACAAAAGCGCATGTACATAAAGCACATAGAGTATATATGTTCTCCTTTTATCTGGTCCTTTTCATTAAAATGAAAACATTTATCACGCAATAGCCATTACGATTGAGTGTAATGCTCACAAGAAATGTGTTGTTTGTATTGAGTAGTTTATAACTGAAAATATGAGATTTCATGAAAGGAATTCATAACAAAGTATATGCTAAAGATCTCCAACCAAAACTGATATCCTGATATTTTATAAGTATGAATGCACGTGTTATTAGAATAAAATGTTTTTTATGTTTGACATTAGATCTAAATACATGCTGTGTACATCTAAGGTAATACCAAGCTTTTTAAGTTAAAAAAAATATATATCCAATAAAATGAATACAGGTATATATAATTTCCTATTCCGAGTGGTAAAGAAAATAAAATAGGTACAAATGAAGAGTACCAAAATTAATTCTACAGCTTAATGATTATAATCAGCAATAATTCTGCCAATTTCAATGAATAATCAACTTTATTAATCGTTTGATTATGCAAGTGTTAATTTTATATTTATACAAGTAATTTCCGAAAAAATAATAATTCTAACAATTATTTAAAAGAAAATCAAGATCCTAGTCAACCGCACTGTTTATCGTTCGGTACTTTTAGTTCGGAGTCGAGAGCATCATATGCAATGGTGTTTTTTTTTTTTACCTCGCATTATACAATTCCTTCTTGTCACAATTTTTGTCATCAAATAATACCTCCATATATTAGTTAGGATCTTGGTCAATACAAGAAAAACATAATATTTTGAAAAACTTTGATGTATTCTCACATATAGATCACATGGAAACACTTCATTTGTTCGATTGGCATTAGCTAGAAATCGGATCGAGGTTTAGCAAAGAAATAAAAAAGCAAAGTAAAGAACATGCCATCGTCAACGCCATTTAATTTCCATTCTCGATTACATCCAGCTAAGTAGATAAAGAGTACAGAAAACCAAGAACACGATGAATAATCTATGTGCATAATAATGATATGCGCAGCTGTATGCGCAGTAAAATTGTTTGTGTAATTTTTAGTTTCCTCTGCTCGTGCAATTTTTGATTTTTTGTTTGTGCAAATTATACCCCTAAATCGTGCAAAAAATTTCCGATTCGTGTATTTTTCGTTGTTTGTGTTAAAATCTTTCAAACTATGTGCAATTTTTACCTATACGTGCATTTTTATTTTACTCGTGTATTTTTTTCATCTAGCTCGTGTATAAAATCTTAATCGTTGTGCAGAAAATAATTTTGAACCAATCGGCGTGCCATAGGGAATGCCTTAGAGATGATGGTAATGTTGACTTTTTCAGGAGTTGGCTGGGCTATGTTTGTGGTATCGGTGTTCATCTGTATCTACTACAACATGATTATTGCCTATACCCTGTACTATCTGTTCGCTTCACTAGCTGCCAATCTACCGTGGGCTGAGTGTGGAGAATGGGCCACGGAAGGTGGGAAGAGTTATCTCTCCTTACACACAATGTTCTTACAGCTCCATACATAACATTTCACTTGTCTAAAAAATCATTTCTATCTCTGTTCCATTGGAACACTTGGCTAAAAGAAAACTTTTTTTTGTCCTAGCTATGAAATAAACAAAATAAATTTAATATGATTCTGAAAACATTCATATACAATTATACATAAGGCCATGCAAAATTAATTCCTTGGTTCTCAGGCCTTTTTTCAAGAAATATGATGGGGGAGGGAGGCATTTTTTTTTTTTACTTTTTATTGCCCCCAAAACATGATGAGTCAGCTTTTTACATTGTACAAAACCTCAAAAAATGATGAGGGAGGTGATTTGTTGTTTTTATTTTATTGATTTAGCAATAAAAAGGGTCAATGAGGCGCCCTTGGAAGAGATGAGGGAGGGCCTGAGAACCTAGAAATTAATTTTTTTTGGCCTAATCAAGCTCTTTGAGCTATGCTTTAAAACTTAGAAAATCAAAATAAAGAACCTCCCTTTAAGAAAAATAGGAAATATTTACGGTATATGTTATCCTAGTTCTGATGTCCACATTGTTTTATTTTTCAAAGTAAAGTTAAGGTAAATTTAGTATGAAACATATGTCTAAAATAATTGTTCTGAATCAGAAGAAGATCATTATAAACATTTTATGTGTACACTGTAGTATTAAAATGTTACATGCTTACATGTTACTGCTTAAATGATACCTTATTTATTTTCTGTGCCATTTAGCGTGTAGTACAGAGATGAAGTTTAAGATGTTGAAATGTCAGCGTACCAATGGTACCTGGTGTGATGACCAATGTGTCAACTCCACTGCTTTAGACTTCTCTACAATGAATTGTACCTTCTACAACGGCACAGACAAACTTAAATCACCCAGCGACGACTATTTCCAGTAATTAACTTACTATACAGTATAGCTACTTAACACTTTTACTGCATGGTCAAGTCACAATCTACTCTTAATTATTTAACAAACTGAATGTATTCTTTGAGACTTGATGACCGCACTCTCTGATCTAAAAAATAAAACATGTCTTTTAATCCTCAGAAACAGTTCTATCATTTATTAGTTGCATATTTTAGATCAGAGGTTGCACTCTATATTAAATATCGAAAATTAGCTTTCAAAATTGGCCATTTTTATAGACTTTTTCATTAGGAAATTTACGCATTTTGTGACGTCTTAATGCATTGATTAGCCAGAAAATTACATCATTTTAGATAGATACGCGATCACCAAAGATCTAAGTGATATTCAATGCATTGTTAACTAAAACTAAGCAGTTTCAGTTTTTCAGAAATTCACAGGGCCAAGTAAGACCATTAGTGAACCTTGTTCTTTGAACTAAGTTTTATTGAAGTCGGCCAAATATTATAGACATATTTGTAGCTTGATAAAAAAATGACAGAGACAGATGAAGAGAAAATGAATGCTTTGATTATTTTTCTTTCAAAAATGACATACATGTATCACATGATCTGTATTTGTGTGCATTACAGAGTGTATTGAGATTGTCTCAAATCTAAATGTCACATGTATATCACATGATCTGTATTTGTGTCACGTAATCTGTATTTGTGTCACATGATCTATATTTGTATCACATGCTATGTATTTATCTGTTCAGTCAGAGTGTCCTTGACATTACGGAGGGGATCCACTCCCTAGGAGACATCAAGTGGGAGCTGGCGGGGTGTCTACTGCTGGCCTGGGTGCTGGTCTGTATCTGTCTGGCGAAGGGCATCAAAACCTCGGGAAAAGTAAGGACAACACTGAACAATTGAGAATGAAAAATGTTTGACAGTAAATCGCATTCTGAAAGAATTCATACATCAATAAAAAACAGAATATTATGTTTCATTCATTGTTTAATGCTAATATTAAAAGTTAAAAAAAATTGATCAGCATTGTTTATTAATTTCTTATATTTACTCCTGTTAAAACATCTGGATGCCTTTTGTTTTGTAGGCTGTTTACTTCACCGCCTTCTTCCCGTATGTGGTTCTGTTGATCTTGTTAATAAGAGGCTTGACTCTGCCTGGATCTCTGAAAGGAATTGTGTACTACGTCACTCCACAGTGGGACAAACTAGCCAGGGCACAGGTAAGATAGAGCACAGGTATGATAGAGCACAGGTATGATAGAGCACAGGTCAGATAGAGCACAGGTATGATAGAGCACAGGTAAGATAGAGCACAGGTATAATAGAGCACAGGTAAGATAGAGAACAGGTAAGATAGAGCACAGGTATGATAGAGCACAGGTTTGATAGAGCACAGGTATGATAGAACACAGGTATGATAGAGCCTAGGTTTGATAAAGCACAGGTATGATAGAGCACAGGTTTAATATAGCATAGGTTTGATATAGCATAAGTTTGATAGAGCACAGGTTTGATAGAGCATAGGTTTGATAGGGCATAGGTATGATAGAGCACAGGTTTGATATAGCATAGGTTTGATATAGCATAAGTTTGATAGAGCATAGATTTGATACGGCATAGGTTCGATAGAGCATAAGTTGGATAGGGCATAGATATGATAGAGCATAGGTTTGATAGAGCATAGGTTTGATAGAGCACAGGTTTGATAGGGCATAGGTATGATAGAGCATAGGTTTGATAGAGCACAAGTTTGATAGAGCACAGGTATGATAGAGCACAGGTTTGATAGAGCATAGGTATGATAGAGAATAGGTTTGATACAGCATAGGTTTGATAGAGCATAGGTTTGATAGGGCATAGGTATGATACAGCATAGGTATGATTGAGCATAGGTATGATAGAGCATAGGTTTGATAGGGCACAGGTTATTGACTTAAAATAAATTCTAAAAACCCTTCTTTTTGTGGTTCAAACAAAGAGAAATAATGAACTTTGACCTGTTTTATTTGTTCATTTTAATGGCTATAAGATTTTACTTTTCACTGTTTGTAGGTATGGGGAGGTGCTGTTGTACAGATTTTCTTCTCCCTGACCCTCTGTTTTCTTCTCCGTGACCCCCTGTTATATCTACTTGTTTGTTTGTAGGTGTGGGGAGATGCTGATTTTCTTCTCCATGACCCCCTGTTATATCTACTTGTTTGTTTGTAGGTGTGGAGAGATGCAGATTTTCTTCTCTCTGACCCCCTGTTATATCTACTTGTTTGTTTGTAGGTGTGGGGAGATGCCGCCGTACAGATTTTCTTCTCCCTGTCCCCCTGCTGGGGAGGGCTGATTACCCTGGCCAGTTACAACAAGTTCAACAACAATTCTAAAATGTAAGTCATAAAACTATGTCAAGTCAAGTAAAGCGCAATCAAGTAATCATTTCGTTGTGAGTGTGACTGAAATTCATAAGATGTTATAAAACTGGAGATTATGAATGTATCACTAGTGTTATCTCTTTCTGACAGGGATGCCATCATTGTGTCGGTACTGGACTCTGTGACTAGTGTCTTCGCTGGCCTGGTCATTTTCAGCATCATTGGTTACATGGCTGAGGTGTTGGAGCAGCCCATTGATAAAGTCGCTACTGAAGGTATCAACCTTTTGTAAACAATTGTCTTTAACCAAGAAATAATAATTTAAAGTGTGTACCTTTGACTAGAACTCTTATAAAACAATATAAAGAACCCTAAAGGGTTCTGTTTCCATCTCCTGTTTTCTACAGGAATGGAGAAGTATGTGTGAATTATAATTTGGCATGAGTGATGGGTGAGAACATGTAGATAAGGGATTTGATGTTAGATTTTTTCGGTTCCCTTTTAACAGGTGCAGGATTGGCCTTTGTAGCATACCCTGATGTAGTGACAAAACTCCCCCTTTCACAATTGTGGTCTGTGCTTTTCTTTGCTATGCTAATCACTCTTGGACTTGGAACACAGGTAAAGTATAATGTACCCAGGCCAGGATATCTGACATGATAGGTAAAATTACAGGTATTTATAGAGATGTGTCTTAACCAGGTAAAATAACAGGTGTGTCTACCCCTCCCTCTCTATCCCCCTCTCTCTACAGTGTCTTTTTTTTTTTACACTTTTTTTGTGATAAAGTTGTGAGGATGGTGGGCAACTTGAATGTGAGGGAGATTTATAATTACAGTAATAAGAATGATATAAAAATATTACTGTTTGGGAATTTATTACATTTTCAACTGTGAAATTTTGTTAAAAAATGCAATTTATTTTTTGAATAAAAGAGATATTTTGTGACAGAAAGAATATCAGAAGTATGGTAAAACTTGATTTGCCTTTTCATCATTAGCTTGTTTAAGATAAAGGTAATAAACCATTCTGAAGTAGACTAAAATTGCTAAAGTTTCTCCAGATACATGTATGATGTTGAAATTCATGTTCATGTTTCCAACCTCGACCACATAACTATGACATTACAACCCTGGACACTGTGTCTTGAAAAAAAGAAAAGAAAATGAAATAAACAAATGTAGATAAAATAATTTGTGATGACATATCACAACAAATTGATTTTGTATTAACCGCATCATTTGCATTTAAAATTAAGTGTTCTTGCTTTATTTATAGATTTCCACGGTAACTACCGTACATACTACATTGCTGGATCAGTTCCCTCACCTCCGTAAAGGTCACAGGAAAACGTTGTTATTGATCGTCATCGCCATCTTCTGTTTCCTGATTGGACTCATCTTTTGCTCTCAGGTCTGTAGGGTATTCTTATATCTAATGAATAATGAATTAAATTACCTGTGCTGTTTAAATATACTAAATCATAGATTTAAATGGATTCAGAAAGATGGAATTTGTAAAGTGCACTAGAAAAGTTTATTCAACACAGACCATAAAAGAAAACGTGACAATATGGGTCATTATTCATGCGACTCTTACCTATAAATGTATATGTACATGTATGTATTATGGCAGGGTGGAATGTACATGCTGCAGTTGTTTGATAATTACGCTGCCACCTACTCTCTCCTGTTTATTGGTATGGTGGAGTGTATCGGAATATCCTGGGTGTATGGTGAGTCCATGTAGGGGAAATTTATATTGATAAAATATAATTACCGGGGAGGTCAACATTACTGCTACATCACCAAAAATTTCAACTCGTTACTGCTACATTTTTTCAAAATTTCAACCGATCATTGCCGCTACAAATTTTTGGTGGAAAAAAACTCATTACTGCTACATATCGAATCAGCCAGGTATGCAGGTACGGAATATGAGTTCCAATCACAAAGCTTTCATAAAGATTTACAGTTCACTTGAAATAGGTGAAATTACAATACAACAGTATGTTTAGCAAATGACAGTCAAAGCTTTACTGATTGTGTAAAGACTGTGGGTTTTATCCATGAACTGAGTGCTTGATTTTAAAAATTTAAAGTGTTTTATAAAATGAAATATATAAATATAAAAAAAAATTAATAAAATATCCTGCTCAAAGTCCTTCTTTCAACTCCTCGTGGTGAGCAGGAGAAACAGGTCTTATGCCTGTATATGTTATACTTAAAAATCAATCTGTACATTCATAAGTGGCTGGTTAGCGAAAGAGACAATGTAGCGGTAATGTATTACTTTTATATGTAGCAGTAATGTAACATTTTTTTTAGCGGTAATGACTATGTAGTGGTAATGAAAATTTCGCAAATGTAGCGGTAATGAAACGCACCCAACTACCGGTATATGTAAATGTCTGCCAAATAAATTAAAAAGTTTGGAAATTATAGAACAAAGGAATGAGAGGGGTGGGGTGGGTTAACTTGACACGAGAAATTTTCTATCTCTAAATAGTAAAAGCATACGTACGTCATATGAAATCTTACATAAATTCTAGATCACTTAAAATAAAGTACAGTTGGCATTTTCCTTTGACAGCTCTTAGAAGTGTCCTCTCTGACTATGTTTACTCAGTATTAGTTTGCAATGAAAACATTATTTCTAGTACAGGTACCAAATAAATATAAGAAATATGAAAAGATTAAAATTTTGTAGGTGCTGACAGGTTTTTGACAGACATTGAGTTGATGTTGGGAACTCGACCTAGCAATATATGGAAATACAGCTGGAAGTTTGTGGCTCCAATAGCTCTGTTGGTAAGAATCAGATTAGTTTATGATTTCAGAGCAGTTTAATCTGTATCTCCACAAGTAAAAAATTTTAAAGAACAATGCACAGTAGCTCCACAGCCTAATTGTAATGTTTTCAAATCTTGGAGGAACTATTGTCTTCCAGGATTATAATGTAACTTGGTTGTACTACAGTATTGTTAAAGACTTCTTGTTCATTCTTTGAGCCCCTTTAGATATTATTTCTACCTTGTCTGGGTGTCGGTTTTGACTTTCTTTAATATGAATTTTGTTCTTTTAACAGGGTATCCTGCTATTCACGGCTATTGATTTTAGCCCCACAGAATATAACAATGAGAAGTTCCCGGGCTGGGCTGACGGGCTGGGCTGTCTGATCACCATAGCTTCCATTATGATGATCCCCATTGTCGCAGTCTACATGGTCCTAAGGCGTCGGAGTCAATTCTCTGGGTCTTTTATTGAAGTAAGTTTACAAAGAGTTTCCTTCAGAATTCCTCATTGTGAATATATTATTAATTTATTTCACAAATTTTTCATCACATTAAAAAAGACCCTTTTCATGATAATGATAGGAATTTCTTCGTTTTATAACAGCAATATTATTGTTTACCAAGTCCATTCTATCAAGCTCTCCTGATTCTGCAGAGTTCTTGGTTTATTTTTTATGGTTTCTCTCTAAAGCTCATCAAGCACCTGTCCAAACCAACGGAGAAGTGGGGACCTTACAAGAAGGATCACCGAGCCCAGCGACAGAGGATGGACGACAGCTATAACTACGAGTCACAGATTCCACTCAAAGACCACACCGACAGTCAGAAAGTCTAATACCAGCCAAAAATACATACGGAAAAATTCGGTTTACTGAGCAAGAATCCTCAGTAGATAATTAAAAGATCAGGTGCAGGCTATCACAAATCAAATGACTGTTGTAATTTTTAAAATTGTTTGTAGATTAATGATATGAATCTCACAGATACGATATTTTTGTTGACAGTTTTTATTAACCTAATTTTTAGGTACAATATAATATGTATCAGCATTATCTACTTGTAGTAGACAAAGCCAAAATTCAGATATACATAATTATGTGCTTTAATCGAGTTTAAATTTCCAGGTAATTATACAGCATTTTTTTTTGCTAAGTAGTCATTAGGATTTTCAACAGACACAAACTTAAGGTGTTTTTGGTAGTACATGGTGACATGTACAACTGAACCTTGTGTTTATGAAGATTCATAAAATGGTCTCAATATTTAGAAAAAAATTAGTGAAGTATCTAAAATCTAACATATAGTGTATGACCCCAAAACTCCTTTGTGCTTCCTTGAATACAAGGTGCTTACAAAAAATGCATTTTTTGTAATTTTTCTTTGATGCCATAATGAAAATTGAAAATTGCATTGTGACACAATAACATTGTAGAGAAGTGAGCAAGTCATGTGATATAAATTGTGACACAATAACATTGTAGAGAAGTGAGCAAGTCATGTGATATAACCTCAATCGTCAGTCCTGTTCTATCAGGAATTAGTTCTTAATTATTAATTATTGTACATTCTCCAAATGTACTGAAGTCATTGATTTTACTTGTGTCTTTGTGTTCTTTTAGGATTGTGATTTTTTTTCCCCACAGCTTTATACACAGCAAGCACAGAAAGCAATGTTTCTATGCTAAAATGCTAAAATGAAAAAAAAAATGTTCTTTTACAAAACTATAGAAAAAAAAGACATTATGCATGTTATGGTTAACCCCAGAGTTGTGCCTTTAATACCTGCCATTGATAATCCAGCTTCATCTGTCAATGGTCAGAAGTGTTATTTTACAGACCTTGTTATATATGCATGCCATTTCACTGCTTTATCGTCTCCATCACTCTGTTTACACATTGTTCAGTGTACAAGTTTTTCATCACCTGGCCCCGTCCTCATGATAAGATGTGAGGTAGTTTCAGAATTCCAATACAAATTTGAATGTTGCTGTATTAGTGCTATGACATTTTATTGGTTTATATTATGCATGTTCATTGTAATTAAACTCGATATCAGCATTTCATATCAATGAACATGTATTTTTAAAATAAATAAAAGTACTAATTTGGAAAGCATAATTTACAATCAAATAAGTATGCCAAAAAATATATGTTGTATAAGTCTTTGATACTTCAGTTGTCAATGAAATTTAAAAATTGACAGATGTGTAATTAAAATTTGACAGCATAATTTTTTTTGTTTTGTATTGCTTGTCTAGGTTTTGTTAGGGATTTGTATATGGTATTTTTATGGACTGCACATATCTCAGATGTGTAGAAACTGGTGATATTACAATAAATCACTTTACATCTACCATATTTCAGGTAATCTGCAATAACAGGACAGATCGTAAATCATCATCCCAGTCCTGCCTATTTACATTGTATTTTGTTTTATTTATTTAGGTTTGATTTCCTTTGAATTTCCCATTGAATCTCCTTATGTATGTTTTAATGCAAATCAGTGAATCTCATCAGCTCTATGTTTTGAAGTGTCTACATTTACATATAGATACAATTATATGTGTGAAATTGTATTTGTATTGAGATGCAAGTTATTTTTCCCACAGAAGCATATTTATGTGTAAGACAATATTTCGGATTTAATAGACAACATTTTTGACTAGTGAATTTACTGCAAGGGTCTTTAAAGACTTTACACTGTAAAAGACAAGATTTTGGATTACACAACATCTGAATTAAACAGGTATCACTGTATCATATATATGTAAATACAATCTTAAGTATGCTTAAAATATGTTTAATTTTGAGTTAGACTGTATATCTTGCAATGTTTTGATTTTAAGATGATTTTTAAACTACCCGTATAACTTTTAAAGTCACTAGGTTTGCTTACCACTATAAAATAAGGTATTTTGGCATTTGTATTATGTCTTGTATTTATAAATTTTTCAGTCAAATATTGAAATTGCACATGTACATGTACATGTATATTATCAGTTTTATTGTTTGGTAATTGATCAAAAGAATTTAACTTATATTATTTTAATATTATGCATAATATCTTGTGGATTTTTTTTAAATCTCTAGAATGTAAATTTTATAATTTAATTTTTTTTTATGTCAAAATTTTGATTTTAATTAAAATTGTTACACCTCTATAGTGGTTCCTTACTAAGTTTCAGTGGTTCAGATGAAGTGCAGTCATATTCAGGGCCCATTTTACAAAGGAACTTACAACTAAGACCAAAATTTATCTTGCTTATAAATTAATTATTTGCATGAAATTGAAAATAGTTCTAAACTTTTTAAAAGGAATGTAGAAGGATATTTTCATGACAGTAATTCTAAGCTCAAATAATAATTTTGCAAAATTTTTACAATCAACTCAAGGTTTTGGTCTTAGTCATAAGTTCTCATTTGTAAATAAAAAAATTCTTAGAAACAATTAGGAATAATGATAAAAGTAAATGAAAAATAACAGAATCAGTTTTAGGGAAAAATACCATAGTATACACACCTCGAATCATACATGTAATTGTTGCTTGCGAAGCATGCAATGTATAGAAATTGGAAAAACTTGCACTTAGTTTGAAATGTAGGCGCTAGGATTAATGATCGAGACAAACTCTACATTATACTGTAAACCAACTTTTACCAGGTATTAAATTGTTAAAATCATATTTGAGAAATATATAGAACAAATCTTTAAAAATCTTCTGGGCCAGGAAAGCTGAAACTTATGTGGAAGCATCCTTGGGTAGTGTAAATATTAAATTGTTAAAATCATGACCCCGGGGGGTAGGGCGGGGCCACAATAGTTTCATTATATAGCAAATATTTAAAAATTTCAGCAAACTGGGCCAGGCTAAACTTATGTAAGCCAGGTGTGTATATTAAATTGTACACACTAAAGTTCCACATAGAAATATATATAGAACAAAAAAAATCTTCTTCTCAAGAACCACTGGGCCAGGAAAACTGAAACTAAAAGTAGTGTAATATTAAAAATAACAGAATCAGTCTTTAAAAATCTTCTTCTCAAGAACCACTGGGCCAGGAAAGCTGAAACTTATGTGGAAGCATCCTTGGGTATGTAAATATTAAATTGTATACCATACAATATACACATGCACCTTATGTGGAATCATAGTGTAGATATTAAATTCTTAAAATCATGACCTCCGGGGGTAGGGCGGGGCCACAATAGGAAATTTTTACATAGAAATATATAGAACAAATCTTTAAAAATCTTCTTCTCAAGAACCACTGGGCCAGGAATTTGGTTTACCATTGAATATTGTTGAGTTTTTCAAAGTGCTTTACATTCTACGAATCTAGTCAACTATTTTACCATATATATTTTGTTTAAAATTGTTTTTAGTGGGTATTGGACAAAGTTTTAAAATCATAAAAGGGAAGGGGGTAGTGGGGCATGATAGGTATAGCAAGAGGGGGAATCTGGTAAAGAACTGCATCTTACTCAGGTGACTGTTTTTTTCTAAGTGCTTTACATTCTACCACTCTAGTCAACTAGCTATTTTACCATACATATTTTGTTTAAAATTGTTTTTAGTGGGTATTGGACAGATCCTATCTTACTTTTGATTCTTAATTTGTCTGCATTTTCTACAAAAACATAACAAACTACAAAAATGGCTGTGTAACACACTCATTTGTGTTAGGAAATGCTATGGGGAGGGTTGAATATTCACATCTAAATCGTCAACAATTCATTAGCTTCGCAGGGGTTTTGCCCCCTGAGCTCCCACCAGGGTTTTGACCTGGACCCATTCCAAATCCCCTGCCTACTCTGTCAATCACATCAAGAATACCCTGGCTATGCCCATGCTTTTTGCCTTGTATTAGTAGAGATTGTTTCATAGTCGTGAAAATTAATTCTTGCAGATTGATTTAAAACTGATCGTGAATACGGTAAATGATGTTGAGAAGAAAAGTTACTTTAAAGTAACATGATTGTAGCATAACTTTGATTTTTGCATCAACTTAACTACTCAACAGTAATCCAATTGTACAAATTTTATGATGACCTTGATTGATACTGGAAATGAAGTCTTTTATGTTCAACTGCTTTAACATACTGCTCTCTCTATTTAAACCACAGGCCTATAGATCGCTTATAAAAGTTGAGGTGTAAACAAATTTTTTCTCATACACCTCAATTTTTTTCTTTTTTTTTTAATCCAAAGGCCTTTGACTTGAAGTACAAAATTCATTCAAAAGACCCATTTGTTTCTTGATTGAAAGATTATTTTTTTCAGGTTCGGACAGCTAGGGACTATAACTAGGTGAAAAGTTATCCAATGTATTAAATTGATAGAATGGTAACCCTGTTCATCAAGATCCATGCAGGTATGATTTACAACAGGAATTAAGTGATCAGACAGGCCCATAGGAAGCAGATTGGGGGTGGCACAGCCATATATATTTCAGCTGGGAGCACTATACGCTACCAAAAATTCCTTCATGACAGAAAAAAAACATCATCAGACATTATGAAAGGGGCACAAGTGTCAGCTGGTAGGTATTTTCTATAGTGTTCAATATACTAGTATTAGCAAAATTATTGGAGGCACGACCCTCCCCCTCCTGCAGCCATGTACGAAGAGTAGAACCATGCAAATTTTTTTATCATAGAAAAACAATCATTTCAAATAACATTTTATTCAGAATTACACTGATAATGTACCATAATTGTTTTTTTCCCTACTTTTTTCACAACCAACTACAGTAGAACACACTCCACATAACAAAGTGCCAGAGACAACCAATATTAAATCAAAGTAATTATACATGTATGTATATCCATTACATTACAGTATACTTTAAACTCACAAGGAATGAAAATCATTTGAGGTAGGCATCACTTCACTATAAACGTTAGCTATAAGAGTGTTTCACTGTACAAATAAACAACTGCATTAAAAAAAAATCATACATTGGTAGAGGTAGATAGATGAAGTCTAATGATATCATTATAGTAAGATACTGGACAGAACATAACAGAAAATTGACATTGTTGACGTATATATTTACATCCACTGAATATTTTTTCCTTCATTTCTTATGAAGACCATTGTCATTAATCAGTGCATGAACAACACTGAGCAAGCCATGGGTGTAGTTTTCTTGAACAATTAATGGCTGTTCCATCAGTTCTACATACAATGACATATTCATCTTAAAAACAATAGTTAACAAATTTAAGTTTACTTTGAATGATTTTTAATACAGATGTAAAAATAAACAATAAAATGCTTTCTTTGTTTGTTAGTATGGGCATTAACGTTGCAGCAATTGCAGAGAAAAATTATTTGTTATGTATTTTTTCTGCAATAATTGCAACATTAATTCCCATACTAACAAACAAACAAAGCATTTTATTATGTAAATATAAAGTCACAGAAAAAGCAAGAAGTGATTAGAGTATGTCTCCACTAATATTGTCATTTCTTTTTCTAATGTAAAAATGTATAAATATTACAATTAATAACACATTTATTCATCTCTTTATAATTAGATAGGTCATTCTGAAATATTGAAAACTTGCATATAATAATAAATCTACATGTACTGCTTTCATGACCAATCAGATTTGAGTATTTCACATCAACATATATATGATAGCTAGGCTCTAGTGATTAATATGTAAAGTCAAGGTTTGAAACCCTACAGAAGCCCCAGGGTGCAGCTGACCCCCGGGGTCATACCAAACTTCAGATACCAAACCTTAAAAAATTCACCCATATATATTATATACATATATATTTATGAGTAAATGAATATAAAAATGTTACTTTATCAAAATATACCCAAAGACAGGCATCATAAATATACACATGCATGCATTAATTCAGTTTTAATACTTGCATCTAACATTGATAAGCTAAAAACAAAATACATATCACATAAAACATAACTCTAAAAACTGAAATGTATAGAAAGTAAATAAAATTCATCACAATATAACTTGATTGATATGTCTCAAACAATGGATTTGTCTCAAAACAATGGATTTGCAAGATGAAGAGGCAAGAATTTTTCTTGTAAAGAACAACTTATAAAATTTATGAAAAATAACTTTCCTACAAAGTAGTGAGAAGAATTCTCGATTAAATTCACACAACCCAAAAAAAGCACCATGAGGTAGCTAGTTCTTTCATCTCAGCCAGAGATGGGCCACAATGCTCACCCGAGTCACTTTAGGAATTTTGAACCCATATCATGATCCATCCCCCTCCCCAATTGGTCTAAAATTTGAATCCACACAACATTTGAATGCTTCAGTATTAATATGAGTAACATGACCCTGCTGTTCTGGAGATCTTTTTCCCTTTACAAACAGACTTTGTTATTAAATATTAGAGTTCATAGCTTGAATTAAAAACTTGGGTTTGCACTTCATGAAATAAGGATTGTTTTCCTAAAATTTCTTTACTGATGACAGAATGTACAAATAAATCCCCTATTGTGACCTCACCCCAACCCTGAGGGAAGTTTTTGACTTTTTTTTGTCCAGTGACAATTAAATCCCCAATTCTTACCCTCCCCAGCCCGAGGGAAGAATTTGACTTTTTTGCCCAGTGGTTATAGCAAATTTAATTTTTATACAAAGACACCAGATTTGTTACTACATGTATTTATGAGTTATCTAACCCTTTCCTCTTAATCTTTAAAACCATTTTACACAATAATGCTTTGTGGAAAGTAATTAAGTTGAACTGGGCTCAGTACCAAAGAAATGTTAACAGATGGTCAACACAAGACAACAGACAGACACATCTGGCAAGGTTCAATCAGAAAGCTCACTAAATGTAGCTTTGGTAAGCTTAAAATAAATGTAATTAATATCACAGGTAAAGATTGATGTAGGTATTTACAAATTATGAAAATAAAAAGTTAAACAATGGTCTATAGCCTTATGTAAGCACCAAAGGGAATGTTGCGTGTTTTCATTAAGTTGTGTCCTATTCCTTTCCTTCTCGTCAGTAATTCTGCGCATTCCGAAGGTCCAACTGTTCAAATTTTTGATTCCCTGGAATAAAATAATCAGTACTGATGAAGACATACAAATGTGAGGAGAAAAAAATTATATGTCATTACAAGAGCCTTAGAGGTAATCATATTATCATCAAGAGGCATCTATACTTGCAAACATGAAACAGCTTTTAAAGTAAAGGACATTTTATTCACGAGAACTTTATTTTTGCATAATACAGCAAGTCTTTCTACTCGTGAAAATTAAATCTCCAATACTCAGAAAGTGTCCACTGTCTGTTGATACATGTAGATGTAGGAACTGTGATTCACAAGTGATAAAACTCCTATGCAGATATTGGAAGTAGATGTGGTAGAAGTACTTTTGTATGTGTGGTATTAACTTACCCTTTGTATGCTGCCACAATCTTCCCACAGAAATATGTCCCATGGTACTTAATAAACATCTAAGGCATTTAATAAGAGTCCAGGAAATCAACATGATATCCTACAGCTAGACTTTCTTAATACTGACCTTTCCTTTTTCTGCGGTATCTGATGTATACTAGGGTCCCTATCACCACCAGAGCCACCAACAGGAGTGACCCCACTACAGCTCCTGCTATAGCCCCGCTATCCCCCGACTTCTGGGGGGAGGCCGTGTCCGTGATTTTTGAGTCGGTACTGGTTTTTGTTTCTGTGGTAATGGCTGCTTCTGTTGTTGTAATAGGTACACTTCCTAAAACCAACAATCATGAGCAACTTAATAATTTCCTATAGTCTATAAGTTCTGATAAATGTTTTCATGTAATGGACATTTCAGTAAACCATTTTTGCAGGCAATTTAGATAATTATACTTTTTTTGTGTTTCAATTGATAATAACCCACAAAATACCCCCCCCCCCTTTTATCAATAAAGAATCTTTTTTCTTTTTGTTAATGAATCTTTTTTTTTTAAATAAAAAATCAATTTGATAAGCATGGCTTTGCTGTTCTTGAGAGGATATTTGAGGATATTTTCTATACATCCCTATGGGTTACTATGATCCCCTGTTGGTGTCCTACCCTAACTCTAGATGTCATGATTTGAACAAACTTGGATCTACACTATGTAACGATATTATAAAGTCTCAATTTTTCTGAACCTGTGTTTTTTTTTATAATTTTTTTGAAAAATGTTAATTTTTCATTACTTCTTCATTATCTTTGTGTTTTGTGTTAAGTTGAAATTGGTCCAGTGGTTATAGACAAGAAGACGAAATTTTCAAAAGTTCATGACAATGACCATTGCAGAAAAAAGTAGGTCCGGGAACTCTTGGATATTATTCACACGTGAATAATGGATGGTTTACGGTATACCTGTCGAACAGTCTTCCAGGAGTTCAATGTAGGCCCTGACTCTTGTGCCTCTGTAATTATCTGCTTCCACAACGTAGCTGCCAAACATGTACTTATAGACCGCCTGTATACTGTAGGTAGTGGTGTAATACACGGGACTGAACCTATTGTAGCGGTCCATGTGTACGTATCTAGTGGTATCTGGCAGGTGGTACCACAATAACGTCGGTCCGGGGACTGATATAAACCTGGCAGACATGTTGATTGGCGATCCTTCACAGACTCTATAGGTCTGATTGGCTGTGTCACGGTCAGCAAGACGAGGAGAACCTATCAAAACCAAGGATATTATCACAATATGGATCTTATTATGTTCCCCAAACGAAGTTTGGGAACATATTGTTTTTACTCGGTTTCTTATTATGTTCCCCAAACGAAGTTGGGGAACATATTGTTTTTACTCTGTTTCTTATTATTATTATGTTCCCCAAACGTAGTTTGGGAACATATTGTTT